CGCTAGGGTCGGACACCATTGTCCGACATGGCATTCTAAGTGTTAAACAGTCTAGCTATAGCCTAGAGACAAATAGACATTCAGTCAGACAGACAGACAGACAGACGGACAACGGACTCCTAAAAATAGGGACCCCGTACGGGACCCTAAAAGTTATTGTTTATTGTGTTGCTAAGCGCAAAGCTCGGGAACAGCTGAACCGATTTCGTTACCTTATTCGTTTGTCAGTAGAATGGTTGCTATCAAACAAATTCTAGATGAAGAGGGGCGTTTCAATTATAAAACAAATGACTGACACTTTCGACTATTTGTCACTCGGGGCAGATCTCTGCCACCGCAAGCGCGGGACTGTGGACGGCAAGTAAAGCTCGTCAACTGACCAGAATCAGACCCGAGCGTACTTTCAAAAAGTTAATAGACCTCCACAGATGGGACCCTACAGGTCTGATGTTCAGCCGGGGTTGCGGAGCAAGCGCAATGAGGCACCGCGGCTTCGGCTTAAAGCAGGACTCTCTCGTCTTACCCTGAGCGGGAGAAGTCATTCGATGATTTTCAATAATTTAACGATAAGCCGCGAAGTTTATATAAGGAAAACATCTTGAGGAACTTCTTTGTTAAGTACATTATATGTGAACTATTTTAATACTACTTCATAATTTATATTTAAGTGTGGAAGAGCCATGCTTCGACACGACTGGGTCGGCTTGACTGGAGTGATACCACGGCCTCACAGAAAACCGGCGAGAAACAACCACAGCGTTGTGTTTCGCCGTGTGAGTGAGGTTACTGGAGGCCCAATTCTTCACCTCCCACAATCCCTAATTCTACAAATCCCTAATCCCCAAAATGTCGGCAACGCTCTCGTAACTCCTCTGTTGTTGCAGGCGTCCATGGGCGGCGCTGATTGTTTACCATCAGGTAATCCGCCTACTCGTTTGGCGACCTATTACATAAAAAATCGCGTAAACATTGCACATTTTTTTCTCGGATATTTAATTGAGGAAAAGTATTTTTGTTATCGCTAGAGTTTTTACAGCGCGACAATATTAGTTCAGTCGCATAATGAAGTCTGGTCGTACAATCGCATCTATACGGAAAACATCTCTTACAATTCAGTTCGCTCAAAGCTCGCGTCAAGTTCACACGTGTTCTTGAATTTAATTGTATTAATTTTATTTTAAATTTTATCGTATTCGTGTGTAGGTCTGTACGTTGTCTCGTTTGAAATCAAGTTGTTGTGATTTTCAATACTACTAGTTGTTTGATTTAATTTTATAAAAAGTGTTCCAATGGATTTCTAAATATATTTTTTCACAATATTGTAAGTATTTTACACATTTATTTTCATGTTACATTCTTCTTAGGATTAATCATTCTGTAGGTCCCTCTACATTGGGTCTGTAGAGAGGGAGTGTCACACTTTCTAAATACCAGTTCCCTCTGCTTCGGGTCGGGCCCTCTTTTTTGAAGAAGCGAATTTAAAAAATAAGACCTTCGAACTCATCTGTTAAATTAAATTAACTCATAAATATACGTATATATTATACTAAATAAATATAGTATTGCATTTTTATCGTTATAATCATTAGCCTATAAGTGCCCACTGCTGAGCAAAGGCCTCTTCTCATACGGAGAAGGTTAGAGCATTAATCACCACGCTTGCTCAATGCGGATTGGCGATTTCAAACTTATATTAGAAATTATAAGTCCAGGTTTCCTCACGATGTTTGCCTTCACCGTATGTTAGTGGTGTCTAAATAATCATAGAAAGTACATATTACTCGGAAAAAGTCACATTGATACTTGCCAGGGCTCATGCATGAGGAGCGGGCTCCTTAACCTCCGGGCCACCACGACATTTGTTTGTGATTTGCTATTAGTTATGGGTCTTCAGAAGTTTTTGTTAATAGTACATCAGCCGGGGTTGCCGGTCAAACGCACGATAATACACCACGGCCTCGTCCTAAAGCAGAAGAAGGAACAAGGGGGGTTTTTAGTCAGTAAGAGTCTGACAATCCCTTTCAACCGGCCCAAGGAGAGAAATCAATTATAATGATCGTCCACTACTAAATAAACAAACAGCACGGATTCTGGAACTATGCCCGGTGTTATATTAATAAAATAATCCATTCATAGGTACATTGACATTTAAAATAAGGAAGAGTGCGTGTTATTACAACTGAAAACCAGTGTTAGGTACTTACTGTGCCAAGTTTATACTGAGATGACAACCCTTTTGGCATATCCATAGATATGAATGTATATGTATACACCTTGTTTTAGATTCATTTAGTTATTTAAGCACTTTTATTTCTCAATTATTGTATTATGTAAAACTTATTTTCTTTTTAATGCTTAATTTATTAAATAAAATAAATGTTGTTTGAAACTTTTTGCCGTCATGTTGTATTTTTAATTATAATCTTTGGTGCATCGTGCAGCGTGCATATTGCCATAAATGATTTGCCTTTCTTTCTTATATGCAATAATTGATACAAAATTGGGTATTACCTATTACCTATGTTTAATTCAGCCAGTCTTCATTGATTATACAACGTAACGACATATACAATTATGCTAGCTTATGCCCGCGACTTTGTTCGCGTGGAATAGTGACTCCCTGCAGATATTTGGTTTGAAAACTATCCTATGTCCTTTCTCGAGTTTCAAACTATGTCTGTACGAAATTTCACATAAATAGGTTCAGTAGTTTAGGCGTTAAGAAAAGACAGACAGAAAGGGTTACTTTCGCATTTATAATATTAGTTTGGATTGGATTAATTATTTGTTTCAGACAGTGACAGAACAGACGTACCGCCTGATGGTAAGCAATTAGCGCCACCCATGGAACCGCGCGAGAATAGTTTTAGAAGTGCACTATCAGCTTTTCTCGGATTGGATAGGCGGAGATTAAAAAGATTGGGTCTCCGAAAATCTCATTCACAGCGAAACACAACGTACCTAGGGCTGCTTAGGCCCAATCCTTCCCCTCCTCCAATCCCTAAATCTCCAAATCCCTAATCCCTAAAAGGTCGGCAACGCACTCGTAACTCCTCCGTTGCGAGTGTCCATGGGCGGCGTTGATTGCTTACCATCAGGTAATCCGTCTGCTCGTTTGCCGAACTATTACATAAAAAAAACCTAAGCGCACGCCGGTTTTCTGTAACGGCATGGTTAACTTCGCCGGTCCCGATCGTAGTTAACGTCTTAAAAATACTAAGTAAGTTCATCATCAATTTCTTATGAATTCCCGAGTTCCCTCCGGGGGAATACCAGCATCAAAACTTGCGTTATCTTCCGTCCTTATCTTAGGGAAAGGTCAAATATAAATCATACATTTCACTTCATTATAATTCAATTGCTATCTAGAATGCAATTATACATGTATATACCTTTATCAGTTCTTGTATTCAACTAATGTAAATATTCATATACTATATAAATAATGATTATAATATAGAACACGTGCAGGTGTGTGAAATTGTTTGTTTGTAACCGCACTTACGACAAAGTCTAGTGTAGGGCAACGTTTTAAAAAAAGAAGCGGAGATTTTTAAGGGGAAAGTCGGTTAGGAATGAGTTAGTGTACAAAAATTATTTAAATGTGGGAGAGCCATGCTTCGGCACGAATGGGTCGGCTCGAACGGAGTGATACCACGGCATCACAGAAAACCGGCGTGAAACAACCACAACGCTGTGTTTCGCCGTGTGAGTGAGGTTACCGGAGGCCCAATCCTTCCCCTTCCCCAATCCCTCCCCAATTCCTAAATCTCCAAATCCCTAATCTCTAAAAGGTCGGCAACGCACTCGTAACTCCTCCGTTGCGGGTGTCCATGGGCGGCGCTGATTGCTTACCATCAGGTAATCCGGCTGCTCGTTTGCCGACCTATAACATTAAAAAAAATGGTTAACTATGCAGGAACATAATTATACCGTTTGTTAACTAGAAACACTTGCCTCTCATTTACATAAACTCTATACTAATTTCTTATAGCTTTAGCCCGCGACTCCGTTCACGTGGAATACCTAGTAACTTCCAGCAGATTTTTTGTATAAAAACCATCCTACGTCTTTTCTCGAGTTCCAAACTATGTCTGTACCGAAATCGGTTCAGTAGTTTAGGCGTGAAGAAAAGACAGACAGACAGAGTACTTTTGCATTTACAATATTATAGTTTGTATAGAACTCATTTGGAATAAAAAAATTACATACTTAATATTAATCTGTGAATAGAATTGTTTTTACGACGATTTTTATAAGCGCAGTGGAGATTGTAGTCTTTTCATTATCAATGTCATCCGTTTACAAATCGCTGAAAAGTATTTTCATCGTGGTTTTTCCATCAACAATGGCTCGTTTAAAAATAACTGTCTTTCTCATTACGCACTGCTACGAGTGATACGGTAAATTTATTTGATAATAACCTACCTAGACTAGGTATGTGTTTTATTTTAAATTGTTTTTTAAATATCATTCTTTAACTTACATTAACGTTATACCTCAAAATAATGTTATAAAATAAAACGATCCACTTTTTAAGCGAGAAAACACAAAAAAAACTTCTGTCGTTAGGAAAATTGCTTTCATTAATAATACGAATAATTTATCAACACTTTTCGTGCTTGTGTTCAGTACTGACTTATACATAATATGGGATTTTTTGGATTTAATTACGGAATGGTGGCGTTTGAGGGCCTCCAGGATAAGGGAGCGGCGTGGGCCGAAACGAGTTGGTTTTTTATTTAAGCAAACGCCAATTGATCCCCGCAACAACCTTTTGGAGATTTACTTGTGAGGGCTCCAGTAACCTCACTCAAACGGCGAAACACAACGCTGTGGTTGTTTCACTGGCCGTATGTCAGTCGAACGGGGGTCCGGTCCGGTCCGGTCCGATCGTGCCAAAGCATGACTCCCTACAGTTTCATTTTGTTTTGTAACTTGATATACATATGTTTAAGATTGAATTTAAATTAATGTAACAACGATTGTATTGTGTACAGTTCTCATCCCAGTTGGTGCAAAGGCTTCGTGGCATTTCAGGTGGACAGAGCAGATCAGCAATTTCAATCTTCTTCGTGGAAGAGAATCCGAAGAATGGCAGAGTCACAAAGCTGTGTTGATGGTAGCAGTCTGGGGACTGGGCACCAGTAAGTTTTTTTATCTATAAATAAAAAAACTCGGATCGAAAATGATCGGCAAACGAGCAGACGGATTACCTGATGGTAAGCAATCAGCGCCGCCCATGGACACCCGCAACAGGAGTAACGAGTGCGTTGGCGACCTTTTGGGGTAGCGATTTGGAGAATTAGGGATTGGAGGGGGGGGGAGGATTGGGCCTTCGGTAACCTCACTCACACGGCGAAACACAACGCTGTGGTTGTTTCACATGCCGGTTTTCTGTGAGGCCGTGGTATCGCTCCGGTGCAGCCGACCCATTCGTGCCGAATCATGGTTCTCCCACACTTAAATTATGACACACCACGGTTCATTTTGATTTTGTTTCTTATTCTCAAGGGATAAGAGTCAAGGTCATGATGGCTAGGAGGTTAAGGTACTTCTCATGCATGAGGGTGCGATTTCAGAACCAAACAAATTTTTATAGCAATGTGAGTTAAGGCGCCCTTTACTCGCTACACCACTAACATAAGGTGAAGGAAAACATCATGAGGAAACTGTTCTTATAATTTCTAATTATAAGATTGAAATCGCCAATCCGCCTTGAGCAAGCGTGGTGATTCGTGCTCAAACCTTCTCCGTGTGAGAAGAGGCCTTTGCTCAGCAGTAAGCACTTATAGGCTGATGATGTAAAGAATCAAAATCTGTCTTACTCAATCAAGAGATAAGGTTCAAAGTAGTGTGAAACATGTGTAATATGGCTCCGCCAACTGCACGGTTAGTGCGTTGACTGAACTGACTGCCGTGCAACGTGTAGCGGGTTTGTTTCCCGCAAGGAAAATTTCATTGTGTGATCTACGAATAGTTGTGCCGAGTCTGGGTGTCATATGTATGCGAAATTGTATATTTGTACCCACGACTCAGAAGAATATCCTAGTGTGGGTGATAGCTGAAGCCTTTATAAATGACTAGGTACTCTCGTGCAGTTTCGCCCGCTGCTCAGCTCCAATTAATCGTAGCGTGATGTTTTATAGCCTACAACACTCAGGAACATTGTAGCTAACTATCAGTGAAAGAATTTTGCCACCCGACCAGCGGTTTCTAACATTAATTACCGTTACCCCCTACATACAAACTTACAAATTTTACCTCTTTATAATATTAGTATAGATAATGTACATTTTCCATTTCAGGTTACTCTTTGGTTACATCCTTGTACTTATGGTACACAGAGCCACAGATAATAAAAAGTTACAAGCGACCTCGCGCATAATGTCATACTCTGTCGACCATAGATAGATAAAAGTTTACCTACTATTTACTCTTTATTTTTTGTGCTTTTTGTAATAATTTTATTTTAGTTAACAGTTACATTATTTTATCATTTAGTTTATATAATTGGTATAGTTTTTCTTTTTCCTTTTTTTTTGGTATTTTTGATTTTTATGTGTGTGCGCTTGCGCAGAAATAAATGTTTCTTTCTTTCTTTCTTTCTAGGTTGGACGATTGTCGACGTATTGAACAGAAACCTGAAATAAATGGCTCAAGTACAATAGTCTTCGAACAAATGGAGGAGGATTTTATAGTAAATAATAGCAATGAGGCTGATGGTGAAGAAGATCTATTGAAGGTTATTCCTCTTCAGCGATCTTAGGTAAGCTTCTTATAATAGCCAATAATTAGCTGATGGTAAGCAATAAGCAATCCTTCCCCTCCCCCAATCCCTAAATCTCCAAATCCCCAGAAGGTCGGCAACGCACTCGTAACTCCTCTGTTGCGAGTGTCCATGGGCGGCGCTGATTGCTTACCATCGGCTGCTCGTTTGCCGACCTAAAACAAATTGGTGTCGTCCTTGGACAATTGCAACGTCAAAGGAGTTGGTTACAGTCTTAGAGAGGAACTCTTACAAACATTATCTAACCCTGGTTTTCCGTAAATCCATAGTATAAGTAATCAGGTCGAGGCATTTATTGTTTTTTTTTTTTATTAAATTATCAAAAACAATATTAACAGGTTTTAACTGGTTCAGCATCACTTAAACCTCTCGGGTTTGTGTGTAATACTATTATACTATTCTATTCGTCTCACACAATAATTATACATAAACTTAACATTAAACAACTTTATAACAAAACAATCAATCAATCAACACACTGCCAAATACTTTCCAAGTAGTGGGTAGGTACTTAGAAAATACTCCGCATTGTGTACCTAAAATGTACTCGGTAGTGTTCTGTTAGATATTTGCGAAGAAATGTGTTCTTAATTTATATTTTATGTTATTTTTGTTTATAGCATTACGTTAATTCTTACATTTTGTCAATAGTGTCTTCAATCAAATTCATATTGCCATCTGCATTATTTCATTCATCATCAAGCACTATTTTTTTAAGTGATGAGACGGCAAATTTGCAGCCGGATTACCTGATGGTAAGCAATCAGTGACGCTCTCAACAGAGGTGTTAGGAAGTTAGGAGTTCGTTGCCGACTTTTTGGGGATTAGGGTTTTATAGATTTAGGGATTGGAAGAGGGTAAAGATTGAGCCTTCGGTAAATTTCTCTGAGTTTATTGTGAATTTGTGATATGTCGCAGGGCGCGACCCCCACCGGAACAAATCTTTGTGTGATCTACAAATTGTTGTTCCGGGTCTGGGTGTGATTTGTTTGTGAAATTATATGTTAGTAAACGCACCCACGACACAGGAGAAAATCTTAGTGTAGGTAAAAAAGTTAAAAAAAAAATTGTCTGCTGTCAAAATATCTCTTTTCTTTCGGAGATTTAATTTGTTACACGCTTGCTAAAAGCATAATATATGTCGCTATAAATTGCTTCCTCTTTTTTCAGATATTTTCGTTGTCACAATTTTCACCGGGAAGTTGTTGAAAAAACTCAATTTATTCAAGATTTTCCAGTAAGGAGCGACTCCTTGTCTGATCTACACATGGAAGTTCCTATGTGTGTGAAATTAGTATTCATAAATGCATTCAAATGCACTCACGACACAGGAGATAAAACAAAAACAAAAGAATAATTAAACATGCTGTATAATTTAACACACTAGGGATCCGCCCCGGCTTCGCACGGGTGAAATGCTTATACAAATTTCTGTACTAAGTATTTAACGGATGTTATTGTACATATAAACCTTCCTCTTCAATCATTCTCTACAAAAAAGCATAAATACGGTCGAATTGAGAACCTCCCTCCTTTTTGGAAGTCGGTTAAAACAGCATCAAAATCCGTTGCGTAGTTTTAAAGATTTAAGCGTACACAGGGAGGGATAAAGGGACAGATAAAGTGGCTTTGTTTTATACTGTATAGATACATTATACTGTTAATATGTTTATCAAAAATTTTGTCTAAAGTGTTTATCCAATCACTTTAGCTTTCAAAATGTAACATCCAATAGTATGAAGCCATCTGATTTTGAACGAATCGACGATAAGGTCACACTACCGCCATCTGTCGGACAAAAAAAGAAACTACCCCTTGTAACTTCTACAGACGGCGTGTAACTTCTTGTAGGCGTTGATCTTTTAATAATATTTATTTTTATAATATACTTCTAAAATTAATTATATTAAAATGTTATTATTTATCGTTGTAAAATGTTCAGACGCGACGTGACAATTTAAAAAAGTTTTCGTATAAAAAGTTCCAAATGGTTAAGTACCTATTTAAAATTTCTGTGTCTTTGCTAAAAAGTAAAAAGAAAATTTTGGCAATTTTTTCTCCATATTCACTAGTCAAATTAGTTTTTTTAGTTTAACTTCATGCCGTTCGTGAAGGCTAACATAAATGGAACTTAAATTTAAATAACTGTTTAAAGATCCACACCCCCTAGACCCACCTCAGACTTACTATTCGGGGATGGAAAGCATAATGTTAATATCCTAAGATATACATTTATTATATGTATACTTATGTAAGTTTTAAAAAGAATCCTGTTATCGAATATAAAAATAAGTTATAAATTAAATATCTGTGCCTCTTTTCACACATTTCGGATATCCAGATTCCTTGTATCCCGTTATTACACACTACTTGTAAATTTGCCCGGCACTTGGTACCCGGCACCGGATAACCGGAACTCTTAAAAAAATGTCGCAAATTAAATTAATACTCTTAGATAATATGTTCAATTTAAATTCAATATTTGAAAAAATATTATATTAATGCGATAACAAATTTGTCTCTTTAGTTAGGTATTTCTTGTTTTTAAAGTCATAATAAAATTCGTTTTAAAATGTAAATGACAAAAAAAGAACAAAATGTCATGATTGGTTCACCTTTTTAAATATAGAATAAATAAAAATGGTTGTCTTCACTTTGGGATTCCGGATAGCCAGTATCTTTTAAATAGAGAACACTTTAATTTTTGTTTTGTATGAACAAAGACCTTCCCGTGCTAATAAGGAATGGGGTTAGAAATAGCGGTTAATTGAGCTGGGAGCGTTAGCAAAAAATGCAATAACAATAAATTTAACTTATAACTGTATAACTTTAAAAAGCCCTAAAGCACAGACGGGGCCCTAAAGGGCTGATGTTCAGCCGGGGTTGCGGGGTGAGCGCAATGAGGCACAGCGACCTCGGCCCAGAGCAGGAGAAGGAACAGCGGGGGTTTTAGTCAGTAAGAGTCTGACACTCCCTTCCGCCCGGCCCTGGGCGGGAGAAGTCATTTGATGATTTTCCCCTCACAAAAAAAAAAAAACCGTTGAAAGTGTCGTTATTTCATTAATTAAAATAAAGCTAATGTTAGTTAAATTTGTGATCGTAGGTACACAAATTGTCAACAAAACCATTTTCTGGATCGCGGAGAGGGTAAGGTTGGATATAAACTATTTTCGCTTCATAACTTTAAATATTTAATATTATAAATGTAACTTTGTCTCTCTGTTATGCTTTTTTTGTCAGTCGGTACCAACGAGTGTGAGTATAGACGGAAATAATGTGCGAGCGAGAGGTGAATAGATGCGCCGCCATTTCTAATCCCATTATTTATCGGCGCGTGTTATACCTATTTCTTTGCTAATTTATATTTTCATTTTTCACATATTTGTTATACTTACTAAATTTATAATCAATGAAAGTATTTTATTATAATTATTGTCCCTATAGAAAAATAAAACATTTTATGAGAAAACATGTCAACATTTACATTCTTTTATCAGTATTAAATAAAACGTAGAATTTAATGAAATGTATAAGTACGAAATACTTACGATTTGCCTGTAAATTCATTTCAATTTAATGAAATGAAATATTATTTAATTATAAACGCAACGTATGTAAAAGACATAATTATTTATTAAAGTTATGAAAATTTAATTTTGTTTTTCATTACTTCTTCTTAACCTAGTCACGACTAAGTTCTTAAAAAGAACACAATCTACTTACATAGGTATGTGTGGGAGAGCCATGCTTCGGCATGAATGAGTCGGTTCGGCCGTAGTGATATGTACTACGGCCTCAAAGAAGTTTTACAGTATAAAAGTAAACAATTAACACTTTTTATCACAACTAGTATGTATTTTAGCAGAGTAACGGTCCCTTTCAAATCACGAACAATTATGCCTTAAAAATAATCGTCCTACCTTATTTATACTTTCATCAAATATCAAGTGACTAGTTATTTATGTTTAATAAATATTATTTCTAGTGTGATTAAATCTCCAGTGATCATTAATACAATAAATTAAATCGAATTACTTAGGACATAATTATAAACCAATTATTTAAATTAATCAGTAAATAAATAATCTAAATATGACGTCATATCCGCTGTCCTCCTATTTGGTGTTGCTAGTACTGGTTAACACTCGGCCATCCTGCCCAGACCGTGTCCCACGGTCGCTGTTACGCCACCCAGAAGCAGCTCCGTTATCCTGAAATAGAGAATAATACTCCGCAGTAACTGGTTGCTTTACACAATATGAAAATAGTTGAATGTGTTTTCTAATATAATATTTTTATGTCACACAGGAAAAATACATATACACAGGGTTCGTGACATGTTCACACAGTTGTTTTTAGTCGCAGCGGACTTGTTCACATAGCCGTCCATACTGCAATTTATTGGACTTGGTCACACAGCTGTCCTAGCTATATACTATATATGTATGAGGCTATCACACAGTGGTCCTTACTACATAATATATGTTATATGGGACTTGGTCACATAATCGTCCCTTTTATATTATATTGGGCTTGATCACACAGCTGCCCTCTCTGCAGTATAATGGACTTGGTCACATAGCTGTCCCTTTTATATGATATTGGACTTGATCACACAGCTGCCCTCTCTGCAGTATAATGGACTTGGTCACATAGCTGTCCCTTTTATATGATATTGGACTTGATCACACAGCTGCCCTCTCTGCAATATAATGGACTTGATCACAAAGCCATCCCTCGCAATACCATACAGATACTAAAATGGACTTGATCACACAGCTGTCCTACGAAGGTCTGTTAATTAGTTATCATTTGCACTTACATTATATGTCATTGTAAGTGACACGAGATCATTTCAGTGTTACTTGATTTTTAATAGTCCCGCATAATGAGTGTTTATGGAACAAAAATAAAAGAACAATATTTGTAGTAGCTACTCTATGTTTACTATGTTTAAGTATTTAATTAATTTACTAAATTATAATCATGGTATTAGTTAGCATAATACTTCACTATTGCCTAATGATCAGCAACTTACAGAAAATGTGGTTATTTTTAAATTATGCTACACAGTTTGTTGTTTGGTTAAAGGACAGTTAATATAATAAATTAATAACATGTTCGTAGAGTTGCACATTCTTAACAGTTACTTGCTTATGAAAAGATGATAAAAATCATTCAACTTTCTAGAAGATCAATTAAGTCATCTCTATCAACTTCGTGATCACTACCTGAACTATCATCTTCAGACATGGTTGGTTTGTATGGTCGAAGTGTCTCACCACGAACTACAGCGCTAAATTTTCTATAGCCCTTCATACCCTTAATACTTGTGATGGTGTAACGGTCTAATAAATGATCTACCTTACATACTTTGTATGGACCTGTATATAGGCCATTTAATTTTCTGGTGACTCCAGAAGAGGAGTCTCTAGTTACCCCGCCCTTCCAGAGCACTAATTGACCTACAGCATATTTAATGCACTTCTTCCTTTTCTTATCGAAGCGTGCTTTCATTGCAGTCATATTCCTATCGATACGAAGTTTAGCTGTTTCCCTATTAGCTTGGAGCTCTTTGAGCTGCAATTCAGAGGTCGAAGGTACATGGGAAGGAAAAGCTGGGTATCTAGAATTTTTGTGGCCAAACATAAGATTGAAAGGTGAAAAACCAGTTGTGGCATTGGGAGTATTATTGATACCCCACACAATGTCATCTAACTTATTATCCCATGTACATTCACTCTCCGTCATTGTATTAAGACCGTTCAGTAACGTGCGATTAACGCGCTCCACCTGGCCGTTAGAACGCGGACTGGCTATAGCATTTAAAATATGTTTAAATTGATTTTCGTCAGCGAATTGTTTAAAATATCTACTGGTAAAAGCTTTGCCTCTATCTGTAATTATTCTAATGGGGTAACCAAACTGTAATATAATTTCTTTGAGTAGTCGAATTGTTTCAATGGAACTACAGTTCTTAGCTGGACGAGCAAACACGTATTTGGTAAATGCATCAATAACTACAAGAATATATGAATTTCCTTTACGCGTTTTAGCAAAAGGGCCAAGATGATCAGTATGTAGAGTATGCATGGGCACTGCAGGTTTCTCAATCGGGTAGAGTTCTCCTTCTAACCTGCCGTAGTTGCCCTTGTTGAATGCACATTGTAAGCAAGAATTAATATATTTTCTTATGAATCTGGTCATACCTTCGAATCAAAACTGAGCCTTGATAGCACTTTCACACTTTTCGAATCCCGGGTGCCCGATCTGATCATGTAATTTTTGTAATAAACCGTATTTTGCTAACTTTGGAATAACGAAACGATCTCCGGCTACGGTTTTCCGAAACAATATGCCTTCTTTAACAATGTAATTTATAGCAAGATTGGGATCGGGGTTTTCACGAAGTCTATTTATGATATTTTGTATATTATGATCCTGTAATTGCAGAGTAATCAACCAATCAGAATTGTCAATAATGAGTATCAAGTTAGTAGCAGGATTTCTGCTTAACGCGTCTACATGTCGCATACGTTCGCCTGGCCGATACTCAATTTCAAGGTCAAACTCTTGTATCGTAAGCCACCAGCGAGCTATACGGGGTACTAAATCCCTCTTAGTAAGGGTCGTTCTTAAAGCCGAGCAATCAGTTACAACTTTAACTTTGATTCCCGTTAAATAAATGCGGAATCGTTTAAGGGATTCTACAACGGCAAGCGTCTCAAGCTCATAGCTGTGATAGTGTCTTTCTTCTTTAGTTGTAACCCTACTAAAATAGGCTACGGGTTTTAAACTAGCATCTGACTGATACTGCATGAGCATTCCACCTAATCCTATCTTACTTGCGTCTGTATGCAATTCTGTTTTAGCATCAGAATTGTAGATAGCCAAGATTGGTCTTTCAATTAGACGCTGTTTTAGAGCCAGGAATGCATTTTCCTGATCAGAGCCCCAGTGCCAATTGGCATCCTTTTTTGTTAATTCTGTTAGAGGACGAGCAAGTTGTGCAAAACCACGAATAAATTTCCTAAAATACGAGGTTAACCCTATGAATTGTCTAATTTCATGAACGTTACGCGGCCTATTATATTCTGCAACGCATTTTATTTTTGCTAAACCTGGCTGTATTGTACCAGCCGAGATTTCGTGACCTAAATAAGTAGCAGTACTTTTAAGAAAAGAACATTTATTTAAATTTAATTTTAAATTGGCGTCTCTAAGGAATTGAAGCACCTTCTCTAACAGCAATAATCCTTCCTCTATGGACGTCGTAGGTAACATAATGTCATCCAAATAGAGGGCAATGTTTTGTTCTACTCTGCCTAACGTCATTTGTATTAAGCGTGAGAAAACTGCTGGGGCATTAGCCAAACCGAATGGCATCTTCAAAAATTCATATTGGCCTGACGGTGTGACAAATGCTGTTTTTGATATGGAGTCTTCATCAAGTTTTACCTGGTAATAACCTTGGGCGAGGTCAAGTGTCGTAAAATAAAATTTGCCTGAAAGTTTATTGACCTGGTCTTCAATGTGCGGCAAAGGGTATCTATCTTTTATAGTAATGGAATTAAGTGCCCTATAATCGACACATAACCTGTAATCACCTCCCTTTTTTTTAACAAGTACTACAGGACTAGCATAATTAGACATAGATTCCCTGATGATGCCTGCCTCTAATAAATCTGTAACTTTTTGTTTCACAATTTCATTCTCTTTATGTGATAATCTGTACGGTTTACAATAGACGGGTTTATCATTAACTGTATGTATGTGCATCTTAATAAGGTCGGTGCAGCCTAGGTCTTTGGTACTTCTAGCAAACGAGTGAGTATACTTATTTAAAAGAGTTAATAATTGTTCATTTTCGATGTCACTGAGATGACCTACATTAATATCTGTTAGGTTAATTTGAACATTATTAGCCTCTACATTATCTACTGTAAATACTTTAGGCTTCTCCATATTGATAGGGACTGTGACTAGCTCAGCCCTTGCTATTAACTGATTATCATGAAATATCAAATCACACAACCCTAAATTTACTACTTTTAAATAGGAATGGTCTGAATTAATGATCGCTGACGGTATTAAATAAGACATATTACCGATTTGGACCCATACTGTACGTGTTAGGAATGTGCACTCTTTTCCGCTTATTAGACTGCCATTAATATACACTTCAATATATGATTGACTTTGTTTAGGTATATTAACTTGGTGTTTTACATAGACTGAAAACTTTTCAATAAAGTCAGACTGTTGTAATTTAATATTTGCTAATGCGCTCTGTACGATTTGACTTTCTACAAAACTTACCGACGAATCAGAGGTAACTAAACTTACACCTTTACTATTTATCATCGATTGTCCAATCAATAAATCAATATCCGATGAAATATAGTCCGTTAATTCAACTACACCGTTCAAAGTTACATTATCGATCAATACATTTAATTGACATGAACCGAGTGAATTTACACAAGCTCCACCAAAGCCTCTCATGATAATAGTACTAGGCTCAATCTTAACTTTTAATTTCTTCGCTTGTGAGATAGTAAGTATATTCAATTTACTGCCAGTATCTATATACGCTATAAGTTGGTGACCATTTATGTCGACAGTCTTTTTATAATAATCAAGATAGATATCATAGGTTATATGCAGCACGTGGCTATTTTGACTAACCTTTTGCGGTCGAGATGTCCCAGCTGCAAACCAGCATTCTTCAGTCTTATGTCCCCTACGTCCACAATTGGTACAAAGATGTTGTTGCCTGCAGTTCTTGGCTTCATGACCTGGACGGCGACACGTGTAGCATATCTTCGGCTGGTGTTGATTTAATGATGTAGACTCTTGTGTAGTACCACCACCTGAATCGCCCCGTTTCCACGTAGACTTCCGAGAAGAGTTAGATTCTACCCGTTTGAAGTTTTCTAGTGAAGACAGGTAGCCAAAGTAGAGTTGCTCGGGAGTTTCACAGCTATATGCTTTAGCGTTCGCTCGTAACTCTATAGGCAGTCCCCGAATTATGCATGAAATAGCATCTGTCCCGTTGATACAACATTTTCTTAAAAGCGACAATTTTTCATGATAATACTTAGTCATCGACTCCTTGTCCTCCTTCGTCCGGGCCATCATGCGTTCTAATTTGTCTGCATAGTCGATGGATCGAGGAAACGCGACGCGTAGCATTTCCTTCCATCCATCCCATGTCAAATCATAGTTTTCCAGGTCGTCATACCAGTCACGCGCAGCACCACGTAAGCGCAACTGCATAATGAATGTACGGTCAGTGTCGTCCCAACCATATACATCACCGAGTTGGTCAATTTTATGGAGCCAACCAACCACGTTGCTACTGTTATCTTCCGGACGAAATTTTGGAATAACTTCGGCATCACTGGGAGCAACATGTCGCTTTTTGTTGACGGCGGCGCTCGGACGGTCATCAGAAAAAAAATTTCGTCATCTGAACTGGTCGTTTCGCTGCACTGCCGGTTGCGTTTACCGAGTCCATGTAAATACGGCCCAGACATTGTCCAGATAATCCCACTTCTGAGATTTTACAGTATAAAAGTAAACAATTAACACTTTTTATCACAACTAGTATGTATTTTAGCAGAGTAACGGTCCCTTTCAAATCACGAACAATTATGCCTTAAAAATAATCGTCCTACCTTATTTATACTTTCATCAAATATCAAGTGACTAGTTATTTATGTTTAATAAATATTATTTCTAGTGTGATTAAATCTCCAGTGATCATTAATACAATAAATTAAATCGAATTACTTAGGACATAATTATAAACCAATTATTTAAATTAATCAGTAAATAAATAATCTAAATATGACGTCATATCCGCTGTCCTCCTATTTGGTGTTGCTAGTACTGGTTAACAGAAGACAGAGAAGAATGTAACAACCACAGCGTTGTGTTTCGCCGTGTGAGTGAGGTATCCTTCCCCTCCTCCAATCCCAAAATCCCCAAAACCCTAATCCCAAAAAGATCGGCAACGCACTCGAAACTCCACCGTTGATACGGGTGTCTATGGGCGGCGCTGATTGCTTAACATCAGGTAATTCAAAATGCTGTATTGCCACCGATAATATAAAAAAAATTAAAAGGTAATTAAAACGATTTAAATTTTAAATGAAAAATATTTTATTCAATAAATTATATTTTTTTATTTAATTTCTTATATAAAAATCTTAGGTATTTGGACGTTTCAAATAATGGTCTTCGTCGGTAGTCATCGATGTTAGAGATTCAGAGTTCTTCTTCGAAAATAGGCCAATAGACGATCCTGGGTATGTTATTATCATATGCAACTTTAAATCCACCAAACTGAAACAATAATAAGTATTTACATATTAATATATTGTAGCTATTTATGTATATGTCACCTATGTAAATTTATCAATTTCCGACGTCATACGGTAAATTTATACGATTAGATACGTAAGATTTTATATGGTTCGGCCAATCACAGACACTCTTTTAAATATATACGATCTTTGAAATACGTAAAATAACACACTGCTCTCTGATTGGTTAATGTTCATAGTGGCAATGCTTGTACATAGTTTTCAGAATAATCAGACTTGACAAACTATAAATTGGAAGCAACAATGCCTGGTTCCTCTCTGGCACGGATGTAGTGAGTTGAGTTTTCTATTATCAGTTTCAATGAGCTATTTAACAGTTACTTGCTAAAATACAGTTCCGTGGCCAGCAATGGCGGCCGCGAGGAAGGAGAAGTGACACGTGACTGCCAACCAATCTGATCGCTTGTAGCGTTTGCTTACTGCTTACTTATTATTTTACGAGTGAGTTCAGTAAGTTTATCAATTTACGAAAATGTGGACGTAAAATATTACAATTTATCTCCCGTTTAGAATCTTACGAAAGTTTATAAACTTCCTAGTAAATTGATAAACTTACGGATCTTGTTATTTTCCGGTGACATATACAATATGTACTTACCACTAGCGGTCGCCCGCGGGGATGTTGATATTACACTTTTTAAAGTCGTTTTTTTTAAATTTCTCTACGTTTAAACCTCTGGACTTCCACGTTTAATTTTAGGCCAAAATTAGGCAAATCGGTAAAGGCATTGTTTAGTTATAACATTACAACGAAAAGTGGCATTGATTTTGTTTACAGGGTTACTGGTACCTCGGCGTATTCCTTACAGGACATCATAGTAAGGTTAAAATGCAACAAACTAAGCCAGCAAATATTCTACCGAAGTGCAGTAGTTTTTAAGTTACTAAAAAGGGTTTTAGATTTTTTTGTAAAAAATCCCAGATTAAATTATTTGAACCCAGCTTGAAAATTATTTACAGGGCGACTGTACTGAAATTGACGTTATTACCAGAGTTGAAGCCGTAGCAGACCGTTTTTAAATAATAAAAGTTCGAAAAAAAATTTGAGCACAAAAGCTTTCGTGAATTAGTAAAATATTCTTATCTTATCAGCTTTCGAAAAAGGGTATGGTGGTCAATACTTTGCATGTGTGACTCTAGATGTAAAATATATCGCAGGATAAAATACCTAGTCGTTCAATGAAGTACCTAGCTCTTTGATTGCAGTGCCATTTGAGTAGCTATTTATTTACGATGGCGATTTGCTTTTTATGCAGTTCACAGTTCTAACCTAACCTGAGTTACCATTGTGGTAGCAACTCGGTTTTCAAGTAACACTCTGAATAAGAAATTTCGCCAATCAATCAAACAACTAGTCTTTTAGGCTGTTGGTTGAATGGCTACGGCAACGAACTCACAGAAAAACAGCATGAAATAACCACAACGTTGTGTTTAGCCGTGTAAGTGAGGTTACCGGATGCCTAATCCTTCCCCTCTCCTAATCCCTAAATCTCCAAACCCCTAATCCTCTAAAGGTCGGCAACCCACTCGTAAGTTCTCTGTTGTTGCGGATGTCAATGGGCGGCGCTGATTGCTTACCATGAGGTAATCCGTCTGCTCGTTTGACGACCTATCACATAAAAAATCATGATACAACATTTTTAAGAAGACGAGAAAAGAAAATAAAGAAATATATTATATACCTTTTTTTGCTTCCCGCTATCGATGATCAGTGAGTTAGCCTCCTCATTCGATTGCACAACTTTCGGCTTTGGAGCATGATCACCAGCCCTAGAAGAAAACAATATTGTCCAAAAAAGCTATAATATGTGTTTCTGTGACCAGATCTATCACTAGAAAATGTGGGATTTGGAGATTTTAGGATTGGGAAGGAATTGGGGGAGGGAAAGGATTGGGCCTCCGGTAACCTCACTCACACGGCGAAACAACGCTGTGGTTGTTCTACACCGGTTTTCTGTACCACATTAACTAAACACTTCGCCGAAGGGTAAGTGGTATCAGCTATCCGATTACTAGCTAATGCTGAACATCTGATAGTAGGTAAGCAATCGGTTCCACCTCGTGCGTTCTCTAAAACCAGCACTAGGGGCTCCCGTAACCTCACTCACACGGCGCAGTACAACGTTAGTGGGGAACTGGGGACGCTGAAGGATGGCTCCCCCACACTTAAAGTACCTACATTTTTTTAAGCACAGAAGATAATCGAGGATTTACAACTGTATCAGTGTTGTGGTTAACAAAACAAATGTCTGACGCAGTAGTAAATGGACATCAGTGAGATTCCAAGAATCATGATAAACTCGTCGTCTATACCGCGGAGATCTGAGGGTTGGAATGGCTTGCCTGCAATGGTCTTCCCGTCCAGTCATTATTTAGGTGTCTTCAACTTTCAAGGCTAGAGAGAATAGACTGTGCGCCTTACCATCAACGATTGCATCACTGCTTACCATCAAGTTTTTTTTGTGAGGGGAAAACCAACAATTGACTTCCCCCACCAAGGGTGAGGCGAGAGGAAGTGTCAGACTCTTACTGATTTAAACTCCACAGGTTCCTTCTCCTGTTTTAGGCAGAGGCCGCGGTGACTCATTGCGCTTGTCCCGCAACCCCGGCTGAACATCAGCCCTAAAGGGCCCCGTCTGCGGTTGCTTTCCATCAGGTAGGATAGCAGCCAAGGACTCGTTTATATGATTAAAAAAACCTACATGCATGGTCCGATGAGGCAACTGCCGTCTTCCGTCGGTTTTGTGTTAGGTTGGATGTTGTGGATGCTGTTCTGGTCAAGTGTTCCCGATCTCTTGTAGTCCCAAATGTGTCTATTGATTTGTTTCTCTGGATTTAAAACTAGGATCTTGTAGCTCTGGACTCTCGGGGCATAGCAGCTGAAATAGAAAAACTTGGCTCAAAACTTGACGGCGCGGTTCGCGCGGTGGCGCAACAATGAAACAATGAATTTATTTTTGCAAATAGGCCATAAAACGGCACTTTTACCCGTCAAAAGAGGCGCGAGATAGGTACTGCTCGATGACACTAGAATGATGATACTGATCCTTTTAAGGAAGCGCGAAACGCACTGGGGCGGGCACCGAGCAACGTGCAGCTGACTAAGCAATAAATAATAATCTAAAAATTAATTCTCTTTTTACAATTCACGGTTTTCCAATTTCAAAAGGTAGTAGGTAGAATAATAATTAGGTAATAAGTAATTTATATCGAGCTTGATAAATATATATTTAAAGAAGTAATAACGAAATAATAATATATAATAGTAAAAGTATTTATTAGGAAAAGTTTTTGAAAACGAAATAATAAAAATAACGAAATAACAACTTACATGCACAGAATAGTGATACCAGCCATAATTGTCAAAATAACATTGGTAGAAGCCATCTTGTTACAAAGCTTAGGCACTCTCTGTTCAAAATGAAGTCCACTCCAGCATTTATACCCACATTTCCTATAAAAATGCTAATCCCTAATGATCCTATTATTATTTATTAAAAATTAAATCTAATATAAATTGTTCGTCATTCCCGATTCTTGAATGTGTTAATTTTTGTACCCGACTTTACCCGTCGAAGAACATCTAACTATTTTCCTTATAGCATTTAAAACTACGTTTGTATTCCGTCTTCTTAAAACCCAACCACCAATGGCTTTTCCGAGTCATATGTACCTACTTTCTATTATAATTGAGACACCACTGACAAACGGCGAAGGATTAAAGTTTGACGAAATCTGGACTAAGCCGCCTGAGCCTTATAAGGGGCCTTTGCTCAGCAGTGGCCACTTGTAAGCTGATAATGGGATGTAAATTTTTTATTTATTCACAATTAAAACAAAGGAATGAATATTACACAAGAGAAAGAGCAACCTAAAACATCTAACTGAAATATAACTAGGTCGCTTCTCTGTCCCAACTCTTTTCTCCCATGTCTTGGGTGCGTTTACAAACATACAATTTCAATTACACATCACACCCAGACAATGAGTTGTTCCTTGTGGGAATGGAACCCGCGACACGTTGCGCGGCAGTTCAATTGCTCAGTCACCGCGCCAACCGTGCAGTCAAACAACAATACATATACATATTATGATGCAGACTTTTTAAAAGACAAACCGGGACGGGTCGTTATCAACTGTAAATAAATAGTTTTTTTGTAAAATATTTGATTTTGTCATTAAGAAATTCTTGTATTTTTTTTCGATACGGACGGAATCACATGTCCCTTTGAAATGGCTGGTTTTGAAATATGTCGTAACTTAGATTATACATAATTATAATGATAGCTGCCCAACGTCTCATATAATCCATTTCAATTTAAACTAAGACATATATCGGCCGAGACAAGTGTGAGAGAGCCATGCTTCGACACGAATGGGTCGGCTCGACCGGAATGAAAACACGGCCTCATAGAAAACTAGCTTGAAACAAACACAGCGTTGTGTTTCGTCGCGTGAGTGAGGTCACCTGAGACCCAATCCTTCCCCCTTCCATTCCCAATCCTTACACATACGAAACACTTATCTAATAACTTCTTGGGTGTCCATGCCATGTTTGCCGAATTATCCCATAAAAAAAGGCTGTGGGATATGGAAACTGAGGATCAGGTGGAGAGGTAGATTGCACTCGGCCACTACGGGACTATGAAGCTGCTGTGGTTCTTTAGTTTTAACTTGATAAAATAGACGGAAAGACAGCAAAGTCTTACTTATCCAAAACACAGACAAACATATAGACAGAAAACAAAAGAAGTGCGTTCCTATATTGTAATACAATTACTTATAATACTGTGCATGTCTAATAGCTCTCATACAAACTTGACAAATGAGAAAGCTTGTTGCTTACATTGTAACATTTAATCTTCAGTTCTTGAAGATTAGGCCACCACGACGTTGATTTTTAGTCAGTAAAAGTCTGACACACCCTTTCACCTAACCGTAGAGAAGACTATTAATGATTTTTTGATTATTCAAAGACAAAGTCTTAAAGAGGGAAAAAATGACAAAATCACCGAGCTTGCATGCATTTGTAAATGCACATAGGTATGCAATTGTCTATAATTCGATTTTTTTCCGGTTTTTTTTTTCAGCATAATCTGTAGCTGTGTATATACACTTTAAAGACCAGAAGTATCCCAAATGCATTGCGAACCAACCTTACTGAGAAGGAAGGACCAATAAAACAGTGCTTTTCAGGTATTTTCTAAGGAAGTTATAGGTACTTTTCCTAATTCAAGTTTTAACAAACTGATTGACTGGACTACCAACATTTCGCTGAAAGTCATTTTTATCGTTATTAAAAGAAAAATTGTTGCGTGTCGCCAGGGCGGTCCGCTAGTTTCGTAAACAGATGAACATCATAGATAAATGCGATTTGACAGGACCGGGGCGTTGTATTTGTAATTCCAAGGTTAGTCAGGGCGAAACGGAGGGAGTAACTGGTGATAGCATTATCATCATAATAATTAAGATTACCGGCAAATTATAGTGGGGTATTGATTTTGATCTTATCAGACCTACAAGTAATTTTTATCTTAAGAAACTTTCATATTATATATCTTTGGGATGTGAATGTTTCCGAACGAGTGAGATGTGTGTAAGGTGATGCCTGTTTCTGAACGAATGTGTGGAAGTAAGAGGGAATGAATGAGTGAGTGAGATAGAGCGATTTCCGGAAAAAAGATGGTAATTGGACGAATGAGAGGACGAATTCGATTTCTTGTTTAACCACGACGAATTGGCAAATATACGATTTCTCCTACACAAAACAGAGTATTTCTGATATCCTGCGAACCCTTGATCAAGTTAAAGGTCGGCAAAAGAGCGAACTGATTACCAAATTGTACGCAACCGGTGCCGCCCATGGACACTGTAATACCTAACGAGTTACTACAAGTGCGTTGCTGGCCTCTTATAGGATAATAAGTATTTGAAAATTGAGGATGAGGGAGAGGGTAGGATCGGGTCTCCAGTAAGCGGCTTACTCATACAGCAAAACACAGCGTAGTGTTGCTTCACACCTGTTTTCTGTGAAGCCGTGGTGTCACTCCGGTCGAGCTGACACATTTGCCCAAAGCATGGCTGTCTCACACTTACTTACCGATAGATATCTATCAAAGTTAATCTACGGCCGTTTGCAATCCATTTCTGGTATCCTGTTGAACGCCGCAGGGGACAACATGTGGGCCAAGATAGCGAAGGATTTATCCTCAACAGCAATCTGTTGGCAGTCAATGGCTTAATATGGAGCTTCCCTAAGTAAAGATGCGTTAGCCACAATGTCCACACTTTGCAGGCGGGTTGGAGATCGCTGTGATTCTTAGCTGACCTACAGACAAAACAAATGCCATGTGTTTGAAAAAAAGGCTGAGATTTAGGAAAGAAAGAGTAACGATGAAGTTTCTTGCCTGTCCTCTATGTCCATACGAAAGTACATTTTAACAAAAGTACGTTTTTTTTAAAGCGAACACCTAGCTTCTCTGAATAACATATTGACGGACCTCAGAATACAGAACAAACATCTGAGTGATGGACTTCTTGGAGTTTATTCCTGTTTATGTAGGTACCTTCTATTTATTTTTAAATAAGTAGGTACTTACTTCCATGACGGAAATTATCACATTCTTCATTCTGCTATGATTTTATTTTTGTTACGTTGTGTTTTAGACTTTTTAAGTTTTGATATCAAATATTTTATCAGTGCATTTTTGTGTTATGGGTATATGTATATTTGTGAGTAAACTGTTAGGTACTTGTTTTTATAAATATTAGATAGACCAAATAGGTATCGAATAAAATAGATAAAATATTCAATTAAAATTCATTTATTTCATTAATTATCACATACAATTATTTTTATATCATGCAATTATTTACATACATAAACATATTATTTTAATACCTTTTGCTATTAAAGCTTACATTAATATGAAAAAGGTTTATAACCTCAAACATTTTCCCGCCAATTTCAAATCTAAGATGGCGGGCAGCTGTCAAAACTTTAGTAGCGAAAGTGTTTTTTTAATTTGCTTTTTTAAATAAGAAGTGTTCCTCAAAATCCTTTGTTGCGCGCCGCCATTGGTCTACTCATTTGTCAGTTTTTCATCCTTAGTGCTTCTTGTGAGACCTGCGAAAGATGAAGTTAATGTTATTTTTATCAATATTTAGTAGGCTTATTTAATTAATTGCAATTTAAAATATTTACTTGAATTTGGGAGAGAAACGCCTCCTCCTGACTTCGTTGTTCTCGGGGGCAACCTGTAGAAAAAGATATATATATTGTAAAGCTTAAAAGGTACATTTGGATGTAGTTTTTTTTAAATTTTAGAAATGATGTAGACATGTTAGACGATTGTTCAATTTTATTGTGCACCAGCTAATATCTTGTTTCTATAAGTTTGAAAACGCCAATCCTCCTTGAGCAAACGTGATGATTAATGCTGTGCCATGTGAGAAGAGGCCTTTGCTCAGCAGTGGGCACTTATAGGCTGATGATGATGATGATGATGATGGTAGATATGATTTTTCTCTGTGATATTTACCTCAACTGCAGCAGATTTGGGGGGTCCATATTCCCTGAAGCCAGGGGGTCCGTATTCGAGGAAACCTTCAGGGGCCTGTTGCAAGGATCTGTACACAAATTCACTCGTAACTTTAGTTTTTTTCATTATAGCAGGCAAATATTATTTTACATTTAGAAGTAAGATTTTGCTATGTTTATTATTTCATGAGACATGTTTCTTTTATATGCACACGTATTAAGCAACAAGAGAAATTAATTCTTACCCTGAAACCTCCTGTTTGATTTCTACAGCAGATTCAACAGCCTGCAAAAAAAATCATTTAGATAAATTACGTTTTTTATCCCCAACTACAAGTTAAACAATATTGGTTGCTTTTTTTGTTACCTCAGCAGCCTTAACCTCACTCTCCAGCTTGACAATAGCTTCAGCAATGTTGTTCACACCTTCAGCAACTTTCTCAACGACCAATTCTTCAACAACAGCAGGAGAAACAGCCTCTTCAACGACTACGGTAGGCACAACCTCTTCAGCTACAACCTCTTCTTGGATAGCGGCAGTAGGCTCCACAATTTCTGCAAGAGCTGCTTCTGTAGCTTCCACAGCCTGCGCAGTTTCAGTTTGCTCAACGACTTCAGCTACGGCTTCCAGAGTAGGCTGGACTTCGGAAATGATCTCAGCTTGTTCAATTTTCTCGGCTACAGCTTCAGCAGTTGATGCTACTTCTTCCACGATAGCAGCGGATTCTGTGTTAGCTGTGAGAAATATAGTGTTGCGTTTATTTATTGTAGCAATTGGTGATAGTTGTGATTAATGATTTATATACAGTGTGATTAATTGAAGTTTGCGTTTCTTAAACATGTTTTTACATTTGTTTGATGGTTACTAGGGAATAATTTTATTATAAAGATGATAAACAAACTGAAGTAAAGGCTAGAAGGAATTTGTATTATCTCTTATATGAATCACAGAATTTTCAGTTTTCTTTTATCTACTTTATCTAAATTTCGACCTACTTTTTCACTTAGATTAGTTTATTTATTTTCTTCTATAATGTAATCTTTACCTTCTACGGCTACAGTTTCACCAGCACCAGCCTGCAGTTCCTGGGTAGCCAGAGATTGTACAAAGAAGGTCTGTTGGGTGGACTCATCAGGAAGACCTTGGTTCACGCTGTACTGGACAACAGCTTCCACTTTTGGGGGTCCATACTCCCTGAGAGCATCTGAACCGGAGGCTTCCGTCTCTTGGAGAAGGTTTTCTTTTACGGGACTGTCTGCTGGTTTCTGTGAGATAATTATTGTAGATTAAAGAGGTGCATATGCAAAAATATAACATAAATCTTTATGAAAAGCTGCAGAGAACATTTGGTTTGCGGTTAATCGTTTTAACTAGGTTTATCATATTTTTCAAGATAATAAATTTTTATCAACATATTAAAGTCAATAGATGTTCTGTCACACTACTTTACTAATTAATGAAATACTTACCGCAACTTCAGAAGGCAGGTAGAAGCTGGGACCAGAAGGCCTCCATCCACTGGGTAGGTAGGGTCCAGAGCCCAAAGCTGACACGGAGCCGATGGCGAAAATGATAGCAACGATGACCTGAATGAAAAAGTAGAAGATGAAATGGATTTCACATTTATAAACGTATTAATTGATTTATCAAACTTATTTGTTGAAAGTAAGAAATGGTTTGAAGCAATTGGGATCCAAATTGCCGATCCGGAATTTATTGGTATGCCTATGTATATGATGTATTGTATCTGATAAAAATATGATTATGATATAATGATTCTAAATGATAAATGTTCACACAATGAATATTTTTAGGTAAAGCAGAAATGAGGTATGTATATGGATTAAAAAATTGGATTCAAAGCGTTGTTCTTACTTAAAGATGGTGTATCCATCTATAATTAAGTCAGAAATCTGATCACTTGATGATTAAAGACACTAATGAAAATTGTAAAATAAAAAGACAATGCTAATATAAGTGGAGCGGAACAATTCAAAATAAAATGAAAGGAAGAATATTTTAATTAAAGCAAAGGGCTTATTACCTTCATGTTGTGTGAGATCTAAAGAACTGGTTCTTCGAATGATGTTCCTACCTCATTCGACCCACTTTTTATACGAAAATAAATCAAACAATAGTCGAAAAGCCTTGATCAATATTTTGGCCAAATATTTACTGAGCGATAATCTAATTGAGATATGGTTGTGCAATTTTTAATGTGGATTAATTATCCGTAGTTTACTAGCGAAGGTCAAGATTTTTTTGGGGTCTGAGTGGGGTAGCTGTGTGGTAGTTTAGTTCAGTCATTTCAATTGATCACTTGTTGAAGATTTTAAGGAGTATTTCATTGGGAACTACATGTAAGTCAGCTTTTAAAATGATCCTATGTATTGTAATTTTAAGCAACTTTGAGAAGTTTTCTTTAATGTTTTCGTAGTTGGCTATACTTTCTAGGTTCTGGTGTATTTTTCAAAATACTAAACTTTCGTTCATACTTCTGTTAGTTGAGAAGGTTATGGAAAAAGACCATTTGTCTTAGAAACATAAATGTGAAATTTTCTATTTTTGATTTTTTATAATATTTTTACATACTCCATCCTCAGTTTTAATAGTATTTTTATCGTTTTAATCCATTACCGAGTTTTTTTTTTATAAATAAAATTGTAGCCTCGGGCTACCAAACTAAGATTCTTTCCGGTGCATTTGAAAATACAAAGACACTTCCTAGACCTAGGTCTAGGCATGAAAACTCATTTTTAGAATTCGGAATTGCATAAAAAATTCTCAATGTGAGAATCGGACCGGTGATCGGTGATAGAGTCTTTTTTGCAATAAGCAATTAGCTGTTTTTACTTACCATGTGTGATATAAACTCAGTAACTGAGATCTGATTGAATATCTCAAAGGACATATTCATATAAAATGTGTCAATTAAGCTATACATCAGTCTGACGCCACTACTCGAGTGTTGAAGAGCCATGCTTCGGCACGAATCGATCCATAGCTGTGAGAGAGGCTCAAGTGTTATTTTTCTCGCCAATCCCTATATCTTCGAAACCGTCGTCCTCAAAGGCGCCGAATGGAACTGGGACGCCGTCTTCTCATTTTGTGAAGCAGTCATGCTCGCAAAGAGAGAGGCGGCCCGCGTGAGGGAGCAATCTTCCTCCTCACGCCCCAGCCGCTTGAGAGACGCCACGGCGCGCCGTGGCGCCGCAACTGGCGACACTACGGGCGTCGGGGATCGAGGGACGATCTCCGGCCACCGTAAGCACTGGTCTGCGGTCGGTGAGTAAGAACCAGAAACAGGCCCGAGCGTACGGCGCGTAGCGTTCCGCGCACGCCTCAAAGAGCCAATAGACCACCACAGACGGGGCCCTAAAGGGCTGATGTTCAGCCGGGGTGGCGAGGTAAGCGCAATGAGGCACCGCGACCTCGGCCCAGAGCAGGAGAAGGAACAGGGGGGTTTTTAGTCAGTAAGAGTCTGACACTCCCTCACGCCCGGCCCTGGGCGGGAGAAGTCATTTAATGATTTTCCCCTCACAAAAAAAAAGGCGCCGATTCCTTACCACTAGTTAAAATATGTCGCCATTCAAACAATAAGTAGGTAAAAATATCCTCCTATTGACCTTGGACAATAAATAGGTAGGTACCTAAATACCTAGGTACTTATGGCCCAAGGCCAAAATTCGGTTCCGCTCTGCTAATTACTGTGGACATAGTCGAGTATTTGCTTTGGAACCGACCATTTAATTTTGTGACGTCAATAATAAAAAAAACAATAGATGATCTACCTATAGGTACTTACAACATATTTCACGTGTATTCCAAAATTGAACCTTATTATTGAAGTATAATTTTTAAGATTAAAATGCCTTATTTTTTGAGTTAGGCCTCTTTTTTGTTAAGCAAACGATTTCTGGATTGTATTAATGCAAAGTTTATGGTCATGCGCGATTCTATCCAGTTTTCAAACTTTGATTTAATTACAGAATGTTGTTTATCCTTTGGCAAACTTAAATTGCTGTGAGCAGGTCACATTTGTCGCAGAAACGATGGCAGTTCGGGTAAACGTGTTCTGGAGATCTTGGTAAACGTTATTTAGGGACCCTCCAACAAGGTAGTAGTCTGGCTGGCAGTGACTTGATAAAAAGTGCTGAGCTTAATGGCGTGCAATTGGAAAGGTCTTTGTCCAGTAGTGATCGGAAACAGTGGCTGATGATGATGTTGACAAACACAACTTGAGGTTGGTACTGATTTCATCTCATATATAAGTTATTAGTCAACGTAATTTCGATTAGTTGTTTTGCAAGATCTGCTTTGTTCAACAAGATATATATTTGAAAACGAAAAGAAAAGATATTTCTTAAATATAATTAAACTTTATTCAATAACTGAATTCAACATCATAATTTTATTATGAATAATTTTTTTTTTTACATTTTACCCACTTTAAATATTAATCATCAAAAAATTAAAAGAAATACAAATTCAAAATTAGGACGACGTTTAGAAGACGGCCATGTTTGAGTCAGTAGCCGTTAGCGCGGGAATTTCCGTTGCCATGGTAACCGTGGTCGTTGCCATGGTTACCGTGGTTGCTGTAGCCGTTGCCTTGGTTACTGCGGGCGTTGTTTGCATTGTTATCGTAACCTCCTGAACGACCTAGATCTTCAGATTCTTCGTAAGAGATCTGAGGCTTGAATCCGCGCTCGTCAGCTTTGTAGCTCACAGTCTGAAGAGAAAAATATTGTGGTTATTCAACTTGCTATACAAAATTTTAGGTTAATCTTGATAAAGACTGATTTTAGCTGTTAAGAGAATCGACTGTCTTGATAGTGCGATACTTTAGTAAGAGGACATTGTGCCGCTGGTTTACACACTTTAGCTAACATGGGAATCGAACCCCTAAACCACCATGATGATTTTTTAACACACCTTCGATTTTATCCAATACCGTTGGTGCGTTTACAAACTTATATGTGCAAACCCTAAAACAATTTGAAGATCACAAAGAGTTGTACCATGCGGGAATCGAACCCTCGTTACGTTAACCGTGCCGTCAATTTAAGTTTGCCGGCTGCAGTCTTTCCGTCCGAATACAATTTAGGTGTCTTCAAGGCTAGCGGAATAGGCTCTTAATAAACTAGTGCGCCATACCATCAACGATTGCATCACTGCTTACCATCAGGTGGGATCGCAGTCAAGCACTAGTTTATTGCAAGTAAAAAAAAAGTCAATTTAAGTATTCGTCTCCAATTTTTGTAAATCTACGAACCTGCTTCCTTCCATCAGGCAGCACAACATGGTACTCTCCCTGAGCGCGTTCATCCTGCCTCTCCTCGTGGTGGCCGAAGTCAGTACCCTCCTGGTAATCATTGACCATGTAACCAAAGTTGTAGTTTGCTGGCTCCTGTAGGTATCAGTAGAGAGACACTAATGAACTGGGACCCTACTGAAGATTTTTGGTATTTGGGACCTTTTGGGACCTTTTGAATAAGAATGTTCTTTCATAATGTCTTTTTTGTGTAAAAAAAGACTACGTAGGAATTTTTTGAATAGTATTTTTTGGTTACAGTTAACCTTTTTATGATTGAGATTGCTGGGAAGTCTTAGTTTGTTGGCTCTTGTAGATGTTAGCGTTTACAGAACTGGGACTATTTTGGAGATGGGGGCTTTGCATGGTGATAGGTATAATTAGGTAAGGAAGACGAGGCAAATTCGGTGGTAAAAGGTGAAGAATTAGACTTTTTCACGTTTTAATTCTAGATAATCCAATTAATGAGTAAATGTTTTAGTAAATAGGTTTGTCGCAATTAATTTTATCGAATTTTAGTATAGGTACTTAGGTCAATTACTTTTTCCAATTACATTTGTTGATTTCGAGAGACACTAAAAATGTTAGATCCATTTGTTCTTTTCCATATTTATATAGAAAGCAGTAAATTTAACCGACCTTCCTATACCTACATACAGAGACATGAGACTGATATCATCACTGTTATCAAGGTCATAGCCAGCCTCCAAGTTCCCACTGCTGAACAAAGGCCTCTTCTCACATAGATTAGGTTGAAATAAGACATCTTATAAACCATTTTATAAGATTCACCAATCAACAGAAGTTTATGGTGAAGGTAAGCAAACTAGCAGAAGGATCACCTGATGTTAAGCAGACAGCGTCGCCCATAGACACCCTGAGCGCCACCAGAAGACTAACAAGTTCTTTATTAGTCTTTTAGGTTCTAGATCAGTCTGTAGGGTGGTACTATGAAGAGCAAATGTCATAATTTATTCTACTTACAGAGTTGAGCTCTTCCAGTGCGTTCCTGGCAGCGCTGTTGGGGTAACCTGCTGGTTCTTCAGCTCCGTGGCGAGCGTGGGCAGCACCACCATGTTCTTGGGCAGACCTGGGTAAAAGGAAGATTGAAGAATTGTTATACTATATATTAAGTATTATAAGGCATGGACTTGTAAGCCTTTTTTGAGGGAGGAGAAAATCATTGAATGACTTCACGCCTTAGGCCAGAGTAAGTGTCAGAATTTTACTGACTAAATGTCACTCCACACATCAGATAAAGCTTTTTTGACAAAACAAATGGCTAACACAGAGGCAGTTGAACACCCTGCTTGTCATTATAATACTACATAGTATAAAACAAAATGTATGTATGATCAAATCTTAAAAACTACTTGACACAATTTGATGCAGTTTCTTTTAATAAATAGAAGGATTGAAGAGGTGTATAATTTATTAAGGTATACAAATATTAACCTTCCAAAAGCATTTGCTTGAGGTCCATGACCACTGTGGGCATGAACGCCATGACCAGCTCGACCCTGAGCTCCATCCAGGTTGCGCGCAGCTACAATCTGAGGTCCAAAGTTCTGGTTGGCTGGTCCTTGAGAGTAACCGGGTCCACGGCTTGAAGATGGAGGCGGGAGGTAGCTGAGGAAGTAATTATGAATATAGTTTTAATTGTCAATTAATATGAAATATTTTGTGTTAAAATAATCATTCAATAGTTAACGTTTTAAAAGTGCCTACCTATGTGTATTTTAATGGAAAAAATAATGCTTTGATTTTATATTTAAAAGACATCGCCATCATTATGTATAAATCAATACAATTGCATCGCTGAAAGCACCCTCTGTGGGGTTCGAACTTCAACTCAGCGGGGCCATTGGTACGGGGAAACCAGTAGAATCAAGCTAGGTCGGATTACTACTTTCAGTTCAAAAACATAATATGTAGATTTTTGGAGATTTTGGGATCGTCTAGGGGAATGATTGGGCCTCCAGGAACCTCACTCACACGGCGAAACAACACGCTGAGGTTCTTTCACGCCGGTTTTCTGTGAGGCCGTGGTATTACTCCGATCGAGGCAACCCATTCGTACTAAAGCATGGCTGTTCTAAAGTTAAAGATCTCACCTTAACATTTAAAAATCTCACCTGTTTGACGGAGGTGGCTCAGCACAAGCGAAAGCCACCAAGCACACAGTAATCGCGATCGTCTGAAAACAAAAAGCCATCAAATTAGGACATACTATTTAAATTTTTGCACACAGTATACATAATTATAGGTAGGTACAGATTACACTTTTATACTAATATAGGTCGTGGTGGCCCGGAGGTTAAGGAGCCCGCTTTTCATGCATACACCCTCATGCATTTGGGTTCGAAACCTGGCAAGTACCAATGTAACTTTTTTCGAGTTATATGTACTTTCTATGATTATTCAGACACCACTGACAAACGGTGAAGGTAAACATCGTGAGGAAACTGGACTTATAATTTCTAATTATAAGTTTGAAATCGCCAACCCGTATTGAGCAAGCGTGGTGATTAATGCTCAAGCCTTCTCCGTTTGAGAAGAGGCCTTTGCTCAGCAGTGGGCATTTATAGGCTGATAATGATGATGATGACAGTTTATACTGAAGGAAGAAGATGTTTTCTTCCAGTCTATTTTAGGGTGATGTAGAGACAAGTGACTTACTATTATAGTGACATAGTAAGTGCGACAGAGCGTATCATCACCATCATCATCATCAGCCTATAAGTGCCCACTGCTGAGCAAAGGCCTCTTCTCACACGGACAAGGTTAGAGCATTAATCATCACACTTGCTCAATGCGGGTTGGCGATTTCAAACTTATAATTAGAAATTATAAGTCCAGGTTTCCTCACGATGTTTACCTTCACCGCATGTCAGTGGTGTCTAAATAATCATAGAAAGGACATATAACTCGGAAAAAGTCACATTGGTACTTGCCAGGTTTTGAACCCTCATGCATGAGAAGCGGGCTCCTGAACCTCCGGGCTACCATGGCAGAGCGTATATTTTAATCTGAATATAAATGTTAGAATCTGATGAATTAGAATTTACTGAAATATCTTTGATAAATTATATAAAAAATTTAGATTTTTATAGGATGGTGATCATCGTCACTGTAATCGTCTACCTATAAGCCCACTGATGAGTAAAAGTCTCTTCTCTCACGGAAAAGGTTTTAAGCACTGACCACCATGCTCGCTCAAGGCGGATTGGCAATTTGAAACTTCAGTCCAGTTATAAGTCCAGTCCACAATGTTTTCCTTCACCGTGTATCAGTGGTGACTAAATAATCATAGAAAGTAAGTACATATAACTAAGGAAAAAGTCACATTGGTACTTGACATCATAAATTCTGAAACTAACATTTCTGTGAGATCGTGGTATCACCCATTCTTGCCGAAGCTTTGGCTTTCCCACACTAACACCCGGTTTCCGAAAGGCCGATCAATGTTAAAATCAATTTAATCTCTTGTCAAGTCATCTGATTGGTTGACTGAATTATCAACAACTAATCAGATGACTTCACAAGAGATTTGACACCTAGTTAGTTGATTTTAACATTGATCGACCTTTCGGAAACCGGCCATTAACCATTACTTTATCTCTCCGAAAGGTTTGACTGGTGGAGAATGCCCACGGCATTAACTCCACCATATGGATATATAAAACCTTTTTGCGACTGAAGCGTATAAAATAAACAAATGAAAAAATAAAAACAAACCTTCATATTGTAGAAATAGAACACTTTTTTCAAAAAAAGCCGAAAAAACTAAACTTTTTATATAAAACAAAGTACTATTTTAAGGCACTGATAGTTCAAAATTATTTAAACTGTGTTTGTTAGTCAAGCACGTTGTTGAAAATGATACTGATTACATGTTGTGCGAAGCTTTTATACAAGATGTGTTGAAAAGGATTTTGGGAATGAAAAATTGTCGACCATTAGATAATAAAAGGCGAGCTTTCAAGGTACAACGTGCATTGAGACGCCGAAAGGCGTGGAGACGATTTGCTAATAGATTTCTGTTGAGTGAAGATGACATTTTTGTTGCTTAGTTTTGAAGGGTTTTTTTAAGGTTAACTCATTATAACGGTTAAGTGGACTGGTATAAAGCAATAAAGCCTAAGCCGGCTTTTAAATTTTTCTATTTGAAAACAATAAAATTGTTAATTTTACTTAAAATAAGTAATAACTAAAAGCTCTAATAGTTCTAAGTCGACGAAAAGTTGCCTGTGCGACGTCTAACATTCATTGAATAAGATTTAAATCTAGTAGGAGATTGTATGAGATGAGATTATAAATAAGGCTAGGTATAGTTACTATTAAAAATGCTAAAATGTAAATTTTGAATAAAAGTGATTGTGTAAAAATTGCATTTTTTATGTCAATTTTATATGTTTGTAATGATAAAATTATTGTCTTTTTTTAAAAAGTGTCAGTCTTTTAACAATAGGTAATGTTACCTATCTCTTTTTTATTTTATTTTCGTACCTAATAAATGATTATTAATTACTTTTACTAACTGTTATAAAAGATATACTATTTATAATACGCGTTAAAAAAAAGCCAGATCTATTAAGAAACAAATGAAAAAACTTTATTAACTATCATTATTAACTCAATATTTACACGTGAGTAACCCGCGATTTTTAGTTAATTTAGTATGTCTCACTATAGTTATTATAAAAACATGAAAAAACTCTGAAAAAAATCAACAAAATTTTACATACAGAACGCGACTCCACATCTCTCGTTAGCGCACAGATGTCACTCAAGGATGTACCGACAAAGTGACTTCCTAATACCACGCACTAACATGCATTTTAGTACTTATTTGCAATATGACCTTACCCTGGATTAAGTGAACATACAGACAAATATATCATCTAAACATAGTATAAAACAAAGTCGCTTTCTCTGTTCCTATATCCGTATGTATGCTTCAATCTTTAAAACTACGCAACGGATATTGATGCGGTTTTTTAATGGATAGATTTAAGTGTGGGAGAGCCACGCTTCGGCACGAATGGGTCGGCTCGACCGGAGTGATACTACGGCCTCACAGAAAATCGGCGTGAAACAACCACAACGTTGTGTTTCGTGAGTGAGGTTACCGGAGGCCCAATCCTTCCCCTACCCCAATCCCTTCCCAATTCCTAAATCTCCAAAATCCCAATCCCTAAAAGATCGGCAACGCACTCGTAACTCCTTCTTTGTTGCGGGTGCCCATGGGCGACGCTGATTGCTTACCACCAGGCAAGTAATCCGACTGCACGTTTGCCGTCCTATCACATAAAAAAAATACAGTGATTGAATAGAAATGTTTATATTTATAGTAACATCAATTAAATAATGGAGTTTAATATTAGCATTGCACTCGTTTAATGCCGGGCGGATCGCTAGTGTACCTATAATAATTCTGATTAGTGAACTGTGTCGTTGATTTTGGATAGTAGTGATTGAGAAGGGGTTAGATATGTTATTAGGTTCGTTTCTCAGGTTAAGTAAAATGGATTTGGAGATATTTGAAAATTACACTATTCATAGGAAAGAAACGTGAAACAAAGCTTACGTTTTATTTCGCAGTGTGAATGAGGTTAAGAAGTCCAATTCTCCTCCACTATCCTCCATGCCTGAATCCCCATTCCTCAAATCCTGAACAACCCTCAACTTTTAAAAGGCTGACGGCGCACCTATAACTTCTCGATGTTGTTAGGTATCCATTACCAGAGGAGTTAAGAGAGCGTTGCCGACCTTTTGGATGATTAGCGTTTCAGAGATTTAGGGATAGAGAGGAGAGGGAAGGAGGAGAAGGATTGGGCCTCCGGTAACCCCACTTACACGGCGAAACACAACGCTGTGGTTGTTTCTCGCGGTTTTCTGTGAGGCCGTGGTATCACTTCGGTCGAGGCGACCCATTCGTGCCGAAGCATGGCTCTTCCACACTTATTTATTTAGAAGCTTATTTAGAATCCACTGACACATAATTTGATTTCGTTTTAGCCCAAACTTTGCGGGTGTAACCACATAATTGAGAATTGAGGGCCCGTGAATCTTTCGGGCGAGAAAGAGGGATGGAACTTCATATACTGACTACTCTTTAATCAATTGTGTCGAATTCTATTTTCTAGTTACCTGACCCATTCGTGCCGAAGCTAGGGTCTCCCCACTTCTTTTGTTATTGGAATCATCAGCTAAAGGCAAATTTGGCCGGGACAAGTTCAATAAGATACTATAGCCTCGGCCTAAAGCAGGAAAAGGAACGCGGTAAGAGTCTGACACAGTCTGACACAGTCTCGCCTTACCCTGGACGACAGAAAGAACAATTTCTATTATAACTTTCGTGAGACATTCTAAGTTAATTAATATGTTTTCGGCTTAATCACGTAATAATTTGACGAGATAATAGACGAGAATAGTGGCCTCTAGCATGGCTTGAAACTAGTCGAGTATCTCGTCAAATTATTACGTAAGTAAGCCAGTGATTTTTCATCAAAAAAAAAATTCTCTGTGTTGTGTGTCCATATGTGGTGATAAGTCTGCTCTTTTATAGCCATGTATCATTATAAAACTGCAGTATCAACCAGAAAGTTTATGTATGAAGCTGTTTATCCCTGGGCCTCGAGTCTGCTATTACAATAGTGTCAGAATAGTAGATGATTAGTTTTAAAATTGTTGATTTTCACGAGTTTGGTAGTCTACTAACACGATAGCGTCATTATGATTTTAGAATGATCACCCAATGCCACTTCATTGAAATAATTCTTTAGAACGGTAATCTTGTACATAATGACAAATGAATATTTGACATAATGCGGTAAAATAATAAAAAATGTCAGTACCTTTATTCAATAATTTACGTTTAGAATATTAATGTGCAGTGCATCGCCGAACGCTAATGATCAGCCATTTTGAATCAACATATTACGAACTTTTAGCAAAATGACAATGGAATCGTGTAGGAATGACAACACTTTGTCATTCCTACACGATTCCATTGTCAAAATAGTAGACTTGGGCCCCTGGTATATTAACACGAAAGTTTACTAATATTTCTTGCCTTAATTCTGGAGCAAATTGATCCTAAGCAACTAGGTACCATCGTGCTATAAAAATATGTGATATTTTGCCATAAAATGCAAAAAGAAACACATTGATTTGTGTAAACTCGTAGATATAACGAACTAAGTTTCTGATTCTCGGATTGACAAGAATTTTTCTATTCCTAAAATTGTTTTATTGGACATCTTCATAGAAAGCCTATGGTAATCCATTGATTTTTAAGAATCTATTCAATATTTGTTGAGTAGCGAGAGCGATTCTCAGACACTTACTGACTTATGACCACCTCGTTTTTACCCGACTACGGCAAAGCAAAAGGATATATGATTTTGACAGGCTATGTGTGTATGTATGTATGTATGTGTGTTCATCTGTTCCCTCTTAACTTTTGATGGAGAAGAAAAGAGAAGTCATTTGATGATTTTCCTCTTACAAAAAAAGTCTAGGTTCTTTAATAAAGTTTTCCTTTACCGTTTGTCAGTGATCATATCATACATAGAAAGTCTTTACTTTTATAATTAAGAAAAAGTCACATTTTCCAATCCCTTCCTAATAGTTTCCCTCCCGACTACCTCGTCTTTTGGCAATTTCTTATTGTTATAAAATAATCGCGTCCTCCTTCTAAAAGTATGATAAAAGTTGCATAATCACTTGATTATGCTCCGAGAAATGAAAAGCAGCAAATAATTTACTATTTTATTTATTAATACGGCGTAGGTAAGTCATGACCATTGACAAAGACAGAACCCTTCTTTAACTAAATAGTAAAAGTACAAAGTTAAGGTTAAGAAAGATATTAGGAATCAATATGCGCTGCAATACCTACTTAAGCAATTCCAAAACAATATGTAAAAGGGAGGAATAAAAGTCTATTTATATGTATATTCGCACTCTCTCAAATTGAAACTGATATGTTGTATAAATCTGATTATTTGAAATGTATTTGTCGCAGTGTTAATAACAAAACGCTCACTACGTCATCTCTTAACAACACGTTGAACTAATTTTAGTTTATAAATAAGTATTCAAAATAGATGGCCCTGTAAGGTTTTATTCAGACTAGTATTCATATTATATTTATTATTATATATTATACCCCTATATTATATTGTAGTCTTTGCTAGTATTATAGTTACTGTCGGTATGACAGCGACTTCACTCGCTACTCAATCATTCAGCTATGATTGGTGCGTTCGTTTGCGCATCTATGGACGGTCACTTTTCAAATGCTAAGTTGAAGAACCTGTCAATCCGATTAGATCTGCGGTGTGATTTGTTATTTAAATAATTTAAGATTGGTAATTGAATATACGTGTGCTGTACAATTATCTGGAGCCTTATTTTTGAATTCTGCAACGATGGATGATGATAGGAATGCACATGTCAACCTGACTACAGAGGACGTCCCGTCATATTAATATTTTTACAAAATCATTCATAATAACCAACTTTTTTTGGTAAATGTGAACAAACAATCGAATTACTTTTAGTGTTAATTATTAATAATTCGCGACAAATATTGATGAAAGGTTATTAAAAATCTTATTATTAAAAATCTAATGTCTTTTGACCAGCAGATATTAATTTATAATAATAAACAGAATCTTAGAATTATATTAATTAGAGATGTCACAAACAAGGTTACTCAAGTACTTGTTTTAAAACGAAAGGACAACCAATTCATATATTCTCGGGCACGCTGCGGTAAGACTCGTCTTTGAGGAGTTGCTTGAGAGACGCCACGGCGTCCTCACCTTCCGCCTGACGCAGGTCCTTACCGGGCACGGCAGCTTCGGTAGGTTCCTGTTTCGGATCCAGCGGGACATACAGAATATAAAAACTGACATAAAGAAGCACAGACCGTACTATAAAAAAACAAAATTATTCGACAAAAATATATTTTATTTTGCACTAAAAAAACTACATCACAAGCGTCTTACAAACTATGAGGTACATTTATTGCATTGTTTTTTTTTTTAATTTTTTTTTTTTACATTTTGCTACAAAATTATAGGTAATAAATTATTGAGTATTTTACAGTCAGATCCTTTTTACAGTCCATTTTCATAAACATTGTAGTTAGTCAATTGTGCGAAAAAAGAAATGCTAGTTCGATTGTTAGCCGCTAGAGGCGCCACTTTCAGATTTGAGCACGATTTCATTCGGTGGTTTTAGAATATTTTAGATAAGTATATATATTTATATGTATAGTATAGTTTATCTCTCCCAGGAAGATATTTCACCTAACAAAATGATTATTTTAATACATTGTTATATAATTATATAATGACATAATATATTGTTTATAAGTATAGTTTAAAAACCATAAACGCTTTGAAAGAAAGTACAATTCAAAGACTTAAAGTAAGTGTTCTTCATTATCTGGCTTTTTGACGAACACTATTGACATGATTGGTAATTCATTGAAATCCTACATATTAATAAAAAAAACCCAAAACGGTTATTAATATGCCTAAAAGAGGTTGATCATAGGACCAACCTAATGTATCTATGTAATAAAGATTTTTATTTCATTTCATTTCGTAGGTACTATAAAAATGCAACCAAACAAACTAGCACTACTTATTTCACAGCAAACATAACCTTAACCCCATCTTAATAAGGTCCATCACCAGACCTGGCGAGATCAGACGCGTTGTCATCGTAACCACCAGAGCGACCCAAGTCTACCTGTTCCACTGAGATCCTCGGCTTGAAACCACGCTCATCAGCTTCGTACTCGACCGTCTGCAAAGGAAAATAGATCTTATCTTAATATATATAATTCTTTTCATTGAACTCCTCCTAAGCAGGTTGATCGATTTAAATGATAAAAAAATCTGTATACATTTGAGTGGCACCCTGGATGGTTAAGATTCATAAATAAGCCCGACAGATGGCGCTGATTGTGTATGCGCCAAAAAACATTGATCTCTTCGCGTGATTGACTAACAAACATCCAATCATAGTGACTTTCGCATTTACATATAATATTAGAAAGAAGTAAGATTACTTGGATTTCGAAAATAATCTCGGTAGGTATATTTTTCGAGATAAGCAAGTATGGTGCTTCAACGCTTACCTGCTTAGTACCATCAGGTAGGACGACAAAGTAGGAGCCTTCAGCCCTGTTCTCTTGTCTGGACTCGGTGTGGCCAAAGTCGCTGCCAGATTCATAGTCATTCACTTTGTATGTAAAGTCGTAGTTTGCTGGCTCCTGGAATATTAAGAAGATGGTGTTTCAGAATGGTTGTAAGTAGTTGTAAGGATGTTAACTAGAACTTTGTTAACTTGTGTCACTTATAATTGTGACTCCTTTGGTATTATGAGTATCCATGGGCGGCGCTGATTGCTTACCATCAACTAATCCTGATAAAAAATACGCACCTGGTTGACTAGTTCGTCAAGAGCGCTCCTAGCGTAAGAGTAACCCTGGCTGTTTTGGTTGCTGTACTGGTCTGGCACTCCGTACTGCTCTGAGGGCATGGAGTCGCGAGCTGAGGGAGGGCCGTAAGTGTCTGATGGAGAAGATCTGGAAGAAAATCAGATAGGTAGTCTTAGATTTGATAATCATGAGAATAATTCTGTTTTAGAACGGAGTAAAAGAAACAGAATTAAAAGAACAGTGGTTTTCTGGCTAACCACCTATTTTCGAAGAAGTATTTGTATATATGAGGCAGCTTCAATGTGTATGTATAGCGAGAAGCGTCGTGTTATATGACTGTGGAAAATGGAAGCCCTGAATCACTTTGAGTCGCTGAACCAACAAAGTAAGTAATAAATATCATGATCGTTATACCTGGATGCAGCAGCAGAGTAAGACGAAGCAATAGCACTGGTCTTCTGACCAGCAGCGCGGCTCGACGGCACACCATACTCCTGAGATAAACTCCTCGCGTTTGGCACTCCATAGGTATCCGACAAATCGCGCTGGGCAGGTGCGCCATATGTCTGAGAAAGAGCCTTCGAACTTTGGGAATAAGAGCCGGAATTCCTCGCACTTGGAGCACCATAGGTAGTTGATGGAGATCGCGAGCCGAATGAGGACCGACCTTCTGCGTGGGGTTTGAAGGATCGAGCCGCACTGCTTCCGAAAGACTTGGCGATGCTTCTAGGGGTGGTAAAACTGTGGGTATCAGCGGATCTGGATGAGGGAGCTCCATATTCTTGAGATAAGGAATTAGGAGAGTAGGAAGAGCTACGGGAAGCAGGCGGTCCATATTTCTGCGAAGGCGAGCGCGAACCGAAGCTCCTTTGGGCTGGTACTCCATATTCTTCTGAGGGAGTTGAGCGAAATTCAGGGGGACCGTATTGGGAGGAGGGTGTTTGAGAACGAGCTGATGGAGGACCGTATTCTTGAGATAGGCTGGCTCTAGCTGAAGGTGCACCATATTCCTGAGACAAGGATCTAGCTGAAGGGACGCCGTATTCTAGAGATAAGGATCGAGATGAAGGAACTCCATATTCTTGGGATAGACTGGTTCTCTCAGCAGGAACTCCGTACTCTTGAGACAAAGCTGATGGTACGCCATATTCTTGTGATAAACTCCTAACAGCTGGTGCACCATACTCCTCAGAAAGACTGCTTCGAGCATTGGGTACACCATACTCAGTTGAAGGTACACTGCGAAGGTTCGGAAGACCATATTCAGTTGACAGGTTTCGTGAAGATGATATATCGCTGGGAATTCCGTATTCTTGAGAAATTCCACTCCGTTGATTTGGTACTCCATAAGTCTGTGAAGGTCCTGATCTTGGGTTCGCAGTTCTGGCCTTCGGAGGTCCGTATTCAGTTGAGAGGGAGTTGCGCGACGATCCGAAAGATCTGGCAGGAGCTCCGTATTCTTGGGAGATGGATCTCTGGAAGTCTTGAATATGATCGTGATCATGGCCGTGATCATGATGATGACTTGAATGAGGGTAGCCGTCGCTGGAATAAAAATTGAAATGTTTTTTTTATAATGTAGATGTGTAAATTACATATGTAGGTTTTTTATTAGATTTATTAGTACCTATATTTTTTTAAACAGTGTTTAGTCTTACGCTCGCAGAATTAAGACGTTAAGTAGATCTAAGAAGTAATACAATCATGCAGTTCAGCAGTCAGTTAAGTGTGGGCGAGCCATGCTTTGCCACGAATGGGACCGGATTGATACCACGGCCTCATAGGAAACCGGCGTGAAACAACCACACCGTTGTATGGATTCTTCCCCTCCCCAATCCCTAAATCTCCAAAACCCTAATCCCCAATAGGTCAGCGACCAGGCGGGGTAGCGCCTATGGTCGGCGTTGATTGCTTACCATCAGGTAATAGGCTCGTTTGCCGTCCTATCACATAAAAAAAAGTCTGTAGTCCAGTCAATGCACCAACTGTGCAACCAACATAGACATTTGTAAAGAAGTTATCGACTTACCCGACTGGAGGTTCGGCGATGGCCAGTGCCGCGATGCAAAACAGTGGTATAAACACCTGGAATTACAAAAGAAAAACATAGATAAATATTACAAATATGTATATTTTTTCTTTTACGAGTCCCAAGTCCATTACTAAGTGTGGTAATGTCACACGTGGTAAGCCTATTGTCATATTGAAGGACGCAATTCCAAACGCCTTACTATATCCGTTATTGAGAAATTTTTGAATAAAACTAAGGATTAGGACAATTATGCTTTCCACGATCTAGGAATTCTTCGGATAACCTTTGCGCGACAGTCGTACTTTTTTCTTCATTTTTTGAAATAATAATTATCTAGAATTACAACCATAATTCGACAATTTTATTTTATTTGTAAACTTTTCAACGCTATTGGTTAATTGTAGTTTTAGACTTCATAACAGATGGCGTTAGTTGCATCTAAGAAAAACAAAATTGAAATTGACAATACTTAAATAGAATGTTAATAAAAAAATAAGCGAATTTATAAAATGAAATTTCTTACCTTCATATTATTTTTTTCAGATGTAAATCCAAATGAAACTGAAAAATAAAGTTATTTTTATAATGCTGTTGATATTTCAGATTTTTTTGCTTTTTAATTTTAAATGCACACAAAGTCTCGACAAAAAAATTTACAGAGTTTTTTTTTATATTATAATAGTTGATTGATCTTGTACTCTAACTTTATTTTTTAATTAATCAATTCCGACTATTGGATGTCTGGTTCGTTTAATTAAAAAAAGGTGTATTAATCGAATCTCATCAATGATGTATAAAACTATATAATACGTCATTGAATCTCATAGACAATAACCAAAATTTATAAAATTATTTATATGTGGCTTTACGGATATTTCAGAGTAGATACTTAAGAAAATACTTTACTTTAACGCTTAGTTTAATTTAATAATTTTCTGAATCTCACTCTATGCACTAGTGAAATCTTATCAAAATCTACTCGTCAGTTTTTGAGTTTAGTCCAACAAAGCTACTTACTTACATATGAAACACAATTAAGTAACAAGCAAGGATAACATATACGACCTCTTTTACCGTTAAAAAAGTATAAAAAGGTTATATTTAAAAGAAGGTTGTAATATTTTTTCGTACAATGAACTTAGCTCTCTACCTACCCTCTTAAACGAAGACGTTAGTACTCAAACAGTTTAAAATTGGAATGGTAACATCTTGAAACGTTGAACTATTTATACAGCCCAGCTTAACAATACTAGGCAATATACAAACTTAATTCTACAGCCATCTTCATCTATGCTTTTGAATAACCAACTGTAACACTTTAAGATAAGGTTGTGACGTTATTTTATCGGCTGTTCTGTTATGTTGGTGTTGAAATCTCTTTGTAGAATGTGTGTGTGACAAAATTTTGATCTTAATATTGTTTGATTGGTTATCAAGCAAAGTTCGCTCTTAGTGTTAGTAGAGTTGATCAATATGTTTTCGTAATAAATAGCTTAATCTTTACACAGGATTGTTAAAGTACCAAAATAAGTATGGGAGAGCCAAGCTTCGGCACGAATGGGTCGGATCGACCGGAGTGATACCACGGCGTTACAGAAAACCGGCGTGAAACAACCAACCCCTTCCCCTATCCCTTCCCGATCCTTATATCCGCAACCCCTATCTCCAAAAGGCCGGCAACGCACTCGTAACTCCTTTGTGTCCATGGGCGTCGCTGATTGCTTACCATCAGGTAATGCGTGGGCTCGTTTGCCGACAAGTACCATAAAAAAAATTAAATACACATTGAAACACAGAAGAAAGACTTTTATTCAAACTAATTTGGACCCCGGCCCCTTTTCATCTCATCATATCAAACATCATAAGCCTATAAGTGCCCACTGCTGAGCATAGGTCTCCTCCCACACGGAAGGTATGCGCATTAATCACCAAGATTGCTCTTGAAGGTGGATTGGCGATTTCAAACTTATAATTAGAAATTATATGTATGTCCAGATTTCTTTACGTTGTTTTCCTTCACAGTATATCAGTGGTGTCTTAATAATCATAGAAAGTGCATAATAGGTAACTTGGAAAAAAACAAATTGGTATTTGCCAGGTTTCGAATCCGGCACCCTCAAGTATAAGAAGCGTTTAACCAACACGAATTTTATTATCCCTTTATGTCATCATCCTGCTCAATATGGATAAGCTTTCGCGCCAAAGAGCCGTCACACCACCCCAGTTCAGGGCTCGGAGCAGGAGAACAAACGGGGTTTTTAGTCAGCAAGAGTCTGACACTCCTCATCGCCCGACCAAATAGAAGAGTTATATCCATATACCATCTTGATCTTCTTGGTATAACGCTGACATCTACTCTCAATTTTGGGCCATACATCGAAGCAAAAGCTCAACTGGCTGCAAAAAAGTTGGGAATCCTCGCAAGGGTTAGACAATACTTTACGCCGGAACAGCTGCTTAAACTTTATCAGGCGCAAGTTCGATCGGTTATGGAGTACTGCTCTCATCTTCTGGATGGATGGGACGGATCTGCCCGATACCAACTTGATGCGCTTGAGTCTATTGAGAGGCGAGCCAAGAGGATCATTGGCGATGATGCACTTGTCGAGTCGAGACTTCAAAGTCTTGAGCATCGACGCCGAGTTGCTAGCCTGTCGGTTTTCTACCGGTTGCATTTCGGGGAATGTGCGTTGGAATTACATAATTTAATTCCGCCTAGCCCGTTCCATCATCGGACCACCAGACGTACGGCATTGCGCCACCGGTACATGGTGGATGTCCCACATATACGTACAAAACGTTTTGGGAGCACATTCATCATGCGTACAGCCAAGGAGTGGAATTCCTTGCCGGAGTCGGTGTTTCCTGATAGCTACAATCTGGGTATCTTTAAGTCAAGAGTGAATAGGTTACTTCTAGGTAAGCGCGCTCCATCGTCGACCGCATCGTCGCTTTCCATCAGGTGAGATAGCGGTCAAGCGCAAACCTATAATCAATAAAAAAAAATAAAAAAATATATAAACTTTTGGTATTTTTTCCCAAACAAAAAATGGTTCGAGATCATGGCAAACCCTTCTATGGAGAGAAGGCTTGAACTGTTGTTGATGATGATCATTCATATCACATTCATATTCATATTCACTCTCACGTCTCTCTCATTTGATCGTAGCGTGTTTTATAGCCTATAGCACTCAGGAGCGTTGCAGCTATCTATCAGTGAAAGAATTTTGGCAATCCGACCAGCGGTTCCAAAGATTACCCCCTACATACAAACTTACAAATGTTACCCCAATATTAGTTTACATAAGAATAACTCTCCCACATATGTAGAGTCATTCTTGGCTTGAATTCCTAACCAACTTCTCTGGTGTAGCAGGTATTGGCGATGGCGATTGCTTACCTTGAGGTAATCAGTCAGCTTTTTTACTACCCTATGATATAAAAAGATAGATCCCTTATATAAGATTTTAAAACATGTAAGAAACAAGCGTACCCCTACTTAAAAGGCCATCAACGCGCTTATGACTTTTCCTTACATAGAGACAGGGAGAGTCGTGCTTTGGCACGAATGGGTCGGCTCGACCGGAGTGATACCACGGCCTCACAGAAAACCGGCGTGAAACAACCACAGCGTTGAGTTTCGCCGCGTGAATCATATTACCGGAGGTCTAATCCCTCCCCCTCTCCCCATCCCTTCCCAATCCTTGAATATCCGGAACCCGTAGGCTGCGCGACGTCGCCGCGTCCGCGCACGCTGCTCATGAGGAAGAACCCCTCTGTGGTTCGAAACTAGTAGAGCTTTTCTCAATATTTACACGTGAGTAACCCGCGAATTTTAGTTAATTTAGTATGTCTCACGATAGTTATTATAAAAACATCCGGAACCCTTATCCCCAAAAGACCGGCAACGCACTCGTAACTCCTTTGGTGGCTCGTTTGTCGAACTATACAAAAACATAGGCGGAACAGATGACTAGCCATCGAGTTATCCGTCTATTCGTTTGCCTCCTATTCCATAAAAACCCTACAGGTATATACCCAACTATATCCAATATGGTTTTTTTTTAAATCGTTTACTCCACACTCGTATTATCTCCTGTGTCGTGGGTGCGTTTACAAACAAACAATTTGACATACACATCACACCTAGACTTACAGAACAACAATTTTTGGATCACACAAAGAGTTGTTCCTTTCGGGAATCGGACCCGCGACACGTTGCACGGCAGCCAGTTGCTCAGCCACCGCGATAACCGTGCAGTCATTATATTAGTTCTTACTACGAAGCGTTTCACAGCCGAACTTAGTGTTGCAACATGAAATTGTGGTGCATCAAACGACATAGTGACGTTTATTAAAGTTATGGGGCATGCGCCAGAACGTGAGAATCTTGATTAGATTTCGATATTAGGTCATAGACGTATACATATGTATGACGAAAACTGTGAAATTGAGTGTAAAGATGGCGGTAAGACTGGGTTAACTTTGCTGTGTAGTCGCAGTTTCAATTTTGAACCAAATATGCAGAGGACAGCGTTTAAAATTGAATGCACATCTAATTTATATGTTATAGTCAACCAATTACATAATTTTACATACTGAAATGTACAATTACTAAGAGATTAACTTAATATATTATCAGTATACCTATACTTAGCATAAAACAAAGTCGCTTTCTCTGTCTCTATATCCCTGTGTATGCTTAAAGCTTAAACTACGCAACGGATTTTGGTATGTTTTTTTTTAAGTTAGAGTAATTGTTTATACGTACCTATAGTTACATCCATTTACTTGTGGAGAAATTTAGAATGAACATTGCACGCATAGGTCGGCTAAAACGGAATTACAAATACGGCCTCACAGAAAACCTGCACGAAACAACTAAACAAATAACAAAAATTAACTAAGAAAAAGCGTTGTGTTTCTCCATCCTTCCCATCCCCTCATCCCTACCAAAAGGCTGGCAACACACTCGTAACTCCTCCAGTGTCGCGGGAGTCGATGAGCAAGACCGATTGCTTACCATCAGGTAATCCATCAACTCGTTTGCCGCTGTATGACATAGAAAAAAACTAGTATTACTGTAGGTAATACACCAATTCATGCGCTTCTTTAGAACCTGCTGTGCTGGACGCCATTTTAATTTTACCAAACATTTTTCCTATAAAAGAAATCCTCATGCAAACCATGAGAAACACGAAGGACTGGAACTCTTACCGACTTACAACCACATCGGCCAAAGTAAGTAGGAATCACATCCTCCTAAATCTTAGGTCGGCAAATGAGCAGACAGATTACCTGCTGGTAAGCAATCAGCGCCGCCCTTGGACACCCGCAACGGAGGATTTACGAGTGCGTTGCCAACCTTTTAGGGATTAAGGATTTGGAGATTTAAGTATTGGGGGAGCGGAAGGATTAGGCCTCCGGTAACCTCACTCACAAGGCGAAACACAACGCTGTGGTTGTTCCACGCCGGTTTTCTGTGAGGCCGTGGTATCACTCCGGTCGAGCCGACGCATTCGAGCCGAAGCATGGCTCTCCCACACTTATACTCGTGCATTTGTAGTTTGTTAGGTTCGTTGCATCCGGTATCAATTCCATAACAGTTTCTATTACCTATAACCTTCGAAACAAAAAACAAAACTCCTAATTGTTGACAAAGATACTTCAGAACAAGTGTTTCAAAAAACCGGATCCACATATTGTCTCCTAGAAGCAGAGTATCATCACGACTTGAACAAAAGAGGTAATCTATTAAGGGCAAGGACGTATTCTTCATTACGAACTTAAAGCAAACAAAAGATTGGATTGTGTGTGCTTAAACAAATGAGGATCCATTCGTTAGATGAAGAAATCGGTTGTTGTTTTGTACCTCCACTTTAAACTACATTTCTGCTCATCCCTGATAAAGTGCAGCGTGATAATGGTAGAAAGAGCAGAAGTTTAGAAAATTCTCTATAAAACTGTGTTTGTTTCATCCAAATCGCTTCAGCCGTTTTAGAGATATTGCCATTATAAAAAAAGTGTAACTGACAAAAATATGTAAAATATGTCAACCATTTTTTTTACTCAACGTAATTTGACTTTTATGTGAGTAGTTTTAAGGGCTATTTTCGTTTGTTTTTTTGCGTGTGGTTTGTTATATTGTTGAGTTTAATAATGTATTAGGCTACAATGAACGGCGATAAGTGAACTCTTGACATGTAGATGGCACTGTTAAGTAGTTAAACCGCGGTTAACATCATTCTAAGCCCAGATTTAGGTCAACGAAGTAGGTACGTTATTTCGGTTCGAACCTTCGAAAACAGTTTATAATTAGAGTTTTTAATAATATGGATTTTTTTCACTCAAAGGTTGAAAATCCTCATGGGAAACACGAAGGGATCTGTCGGACTCTCATTGACTTACAACTACACCGTATTATAAAGGAATCACATCCTCCCATATCTCGCATTTGTTCCGGCCCCACACAAGCATAATTTGAAGCCCCAAGTTACCAGGTAAACTACACCTCCGGTGATGAACCAACGATCAGAAATGGCTCTTTCTCTCTCTTCTTCGGCACGAATGGCCCGGCTCGATAGGAGTAATACTTAGGCCTTATAGAAAACCAGTGTAAAACGTACACAGCGTTACGTTTCGCCATGTGAGTAAAATGACAGCAGCCCAATTCCTTCCCCCGCTCCCACATCCAATTTTCAAATTCCTAACTACCCCGGTGAGTTTTATCACCCACTAGTATCTTCTCCGGTCTTGGAATTCCATTGGTATACATATGTAGGTCAGTAGATAAACATTTGGAAGCACTCATAAAGATTTTAATGATCTTATACCTCAGTCGATGAACATTTGAACACGCATCCGAAGTTAAACCAACAAAAAGTTTAACCTAAAAACCTAAACCGAAGTTAAACTAAACCTTCGTTAACTGCCACACTGTGCAACCAGCCCTCATTAAACTCTAGGACGTCAAATGAAAGGTGTCACTTGTGTCAATCGCTAACATTACACTGCCCATTATAAGTTGAGCTACGATTACGAAATCCCGCTTTATGAACACGGGTCACAATCACGATATAACCATTTAATTGATGAGTTTTCATTAAAATTTCAATGTTAATGTTTCTTGTTGGAACTGTTGGTGATACTTCAAGGAGAGTAAGTGAATTTGTTGAATGTTATTATTATTATTATTATATACTTGAACACACTAGCAGCTTAGAAAGCTGATGCGTGCGTATTAATGGATTTGGAGATTTTGTCGAGTCTGTTTTTAAAAGAATTAACTGTGGGTGCTTTTATCACATTTTCTGGGAGTTTATTCCATTCCGTGACCACCCTATTAGGTAGGAAGTGTGTCAAGGGATTCAGTTTTGAGGATGTTCTGCATAGTTTTAATGAGTGTCCTCTTAAATTTCGATTTTTATTAAGAAGATACATATTCTTAAGTCCAGGAACGTTGTAGCAGTCACTCATTATTTTGTAAGTCTCAATAAGGTTTCCTCTCTGTCTCCGCTTTTCAAGAGTGGTGAGGCCAAGTTCGTGCAGACGTTGGTCATAGGGTTTGTTTTTAAGCAATTTGACCATCTTGGTAGCTTTTCTCTGAACACTTTCTAAGAGTGTAATGTCTTTCTTAAAGTAGGGATCCCATATCACATAGGCGTACTCTACCAACGGCCTTATGTAGGTTTTATAAAGTTTCAAAAAGGTTTTTGGTGTGAGACACATAAATGATTTTCTGATGAGGTACAACATTGAATTTGCCTTCTTAACGATACTGGTAATATGTGTTTCCCATTTTAAGTCGCCGCTGATGGTAATGCCCAGATCTCTGTGTGCGTTTACCGGTGTCAACTGCTGCATTCCCAGATAGTAAGTTTTGCGAGGATTTTTGTTGCCGATATGTAGGACAGTACACTTTGTTGCATTTAAAGTCAATAACCAATTGTTGGTCCAATTGAGGATGGCGTCCAAGTCACTTTGAATAGTCTGGTATTGTTTGCTGGGGTCTCCAAAGAACTTGGTGTCATTGAATGTAGGAGTTATATAAACGGATAAGAAGTTGTGTGAGTTCTCATTGCCTTGTTCTACGCTACCTTCATTGGTTGTGCCATATCATCAGCCTACAAATGCCTACGACTTTGCAAACGCCTCTTATTGATTTAAATACATAGAAAAGTGTGGGAGAGCCAAGCTTCGGCACGAATGGATTTGCTCGACCGGAGTGATACCAAAGCCTCACAGAAAACAGGCGTGAAACAACCACAGCGTTGTGTTTCGCCGGGTGAATGAGGTTATCGGAGGCCCAATCCCTACCCCTCTCCCATGCCTTGTCAATACTTAAATATCTGAAACCCTTATACCTAAAAGGCCGGCGACGCTCTAGTAACTCTTTTTTCTGTTGCGGATGTCTATTTGCGGCGCTGATGGCTTACCATCAGGTAATCCGTCTGCTCGTTTGCAGGACTATAACATAAAAAAAAACTTTCAACAAAAAAATCAAAAACAACAAATAGTAGCACAATCTTATTAAACACCAAAAAGCTAATAAGAGTCTGCACTTATAGCGACATTCTGGCTTAACTTAGGCATGACGATTCTGAATAAGCACAAGTTAAATGCAAATAAGAAAAAATATACATACACAAATGCCATCCCAGAAGGGGCTGCATAGAAAAGGAGTTACACGGAAAAGGAGCGAGGATTAATTATCACGCTTGCTCAAAGCGGATTTCAAACTTATAATAAAGTTCAGATTTTGTCACGATGATTTTACTCGTAGTGATGTCTAAATAATCTTAATAACTTAGTTGCTATATACTATATTGCTAATGTTATTAGCACTTCCCAGTTTCCCTGCGGGGCTACGGGCACGAAGTGTGCCCATTCACTAATTTATTTGGATTTAAATATGTATGGATGGCATAAGGTACAAATAGTTTGGCATGTAACGTTTGAAGTAACTTCATATCTTTTCCATTGACACACCTCAAAGTCAAGCTCGTAACTAGCGAGAAACTACTAAAAACCGCTAGAACGGAGGATTCCAAAATTCATTTTGAGACGCTAAGACAACTGCTAAGAGTATCTTTCACAAACCTCTACCAAGACAGCAAAATAAAACAACCCCAAAGTTTTGTAATAAATTTTAATAAAGTTATACAGGCAATCCAGTTTTTTTGTCGTAAGTTTTCAAAAACGCGTGAACATGAAATCCAAACTTGATTCTCTCTGTACTGGTCACTTCATTGTTCATATTTCCAGACTTCATAACATCCTGAATTAATGGACTCCAAAAGTGATGACCTCTGTAAGGCTTTCGATAGTTTACAACCAAATTTCCTGTTAGAGATGCTTTATGAATGACCTCCATTTCCAAAAATCCTGCGGTTGCTGATAATACAGCAGTAACAGCTTGTCCTGGCTGCAATTCAGTTTCCATTCCACTATTTGAACCAATCGTTTGGGTTTTACTCTTCTCCTCACTAACGCCCCATGTATTAGTAAACGAAAAACCAGTCACACCTTTAGCTTTAGAAAATCCAACATTAAATTCATACTCAAATTCTTGAGAAACAGTGAATTCTTGCTCCTTAGTCCAACTTGTTGTTAGAGTATTTTCAACACTCTGCGTAATTCCTGTATTAACTTTTACCGTTCGATTCGAAAAGTTTTCAAAATCGTGGGACAACACTATTACAGGCTTCATATTGAGGTGCAGTACTCTGGCTGATTTGATAGACAAAATTCGCTTCACAGGCTGCCAACCGTATGTTTTGTATAGATCTCCCCAAGGCGTTGGACTGCGAAGGTAGACATCTTTGGGCTTCTTTCCTAAATGCTGCTGAACGGCCGTGTGTAATCTATCCACCTTGAACAACTTGATGTCAATATCCGATATTAATTCTTGTTCTGATCCTAAATAATTTATGTTCACTTTCTCATTCTCATCGACAGTGATATCGATTGCAATATGTCCAGTCACCACTTTAATGACAAGCACTAACATTAAAACTTTAAAGTCCATTTTTCTAGATTACAAACTACTGATCCTCCCAAAATTTCTGTACATACTGACTAATTTGTTGATTACAATATTGACCTATCTCAACTCCACTTTTTCGTCAATGAGGATGTGATAAACCAACAAAATCAAACTAGATGTTCAGCTGTTATTTAAATATAACTTCGCTTCTTTCCTACTGATAAACTTGATTATGCATATTATGATAAAAAGGTCATGATCGAGTTCTTGAAACTATAAACAGTTTACTGTTATTTATTATCGAAACGTATTAAAGTTTATACCTATAGAACTTGTAGGATATTCTGAATTAAAAATGTTGGTGCTAATTTTATTTCTCATACCGATCATTGTGGAAGGAAGAATAGAAGTAGATATAATAGTGAAATCAAACGGTACAGACGTTACAGTAAACGCGAGTTATACAGGCAGTGATCACAAACTAGTAACTGATGAAGATTTATAGCTATTTAACGTTACCATGGCGGAACTAAACAGAGGCATGCGCGTAGAACTTGGTAAAGTACCCGATGCCATATTCATAAGAAACCCAACACCTTACGGAGATTTATTTACGAAATTTAAATGGGAGCAAATGAAAAGAAAATTAACTGTTGTTAAAACTAAAATTATAGACATCGTCAATCAAGATATAGTATTAGATACACATGAACATATTAATAACACAACAAATATTGTAACAGCCAAAAGAAGTATGTTTAAAGTTATGGACAACAGTATAAGTTCTACGTGGTCAAAAACAGGACTACCAGGTGATAATGCTCATACAACATTCATCCTTAACTTTGAAGATGGAAAGGCTGAAATTGTAAAACAGTGGAGAAACGAAAGCACCATGAATTTTAAAATACCAGTCGGGATAACTGAAAAAAGTTTAATAACTATTGCACCTGAACAAACGGCCGTCACAAAACTAATTGTTTCAAGAACAATAATTTTGATTGAAATAATATACAAGGCTGAATTATCAGGAAGTTTAATTGGCAATTACGCTGAGCTTTATGGCAAATATCATTATTGGGCTCCAGCCGTAAAGAACATTCTAAAAGCTGCTAAAGTAAATAATGAAATGTTTACTAGGGAAGTAGTAGAACTCCGGTGCTTTACCAGACCACGATTGGCAGTTTATGATAAGAAGACAGGTGGTGAAGTGGAAACCAGAAGAAAAAGGCCACGCATGAAAATTATACGAAATAATAACCAAACGCGGATTATTTATATCAAAACTAAACATCACAAAAAGAATAAAAAGAATCTACAATAAAATATTTCAATAATGATAACTGTATTTAGATATTTTTATTAAAAAATCAGACATCCAAGGCTTATTATTCTTACCTTACCTAGCTAAAAAAAGTTACCAGAGATTGTTTAAAATAACATGCAAAACTTATTATAATCACATTTTCATAAGAATAACAAATAGGTTGGATGTTTGTTGAGGAAAATCACCTAATTTTTAAACTTTTTGTCTTAAAATTGTTTTGAAATTCAAATTTTTATTAACATTTCCGAACGAAAATATCAATGTCATTGGCAGAATATTCAAGACATGGGTCATTTATTCTGTCAAGATCAAATTGTCGCGTCAAACGTCAAATCAAATGTCGTCAAAAGTTCGAAGGTTCGATTCATGATTTGCAATAATTCGTATTAATTGACCGATAAAATAATAATCTAAATACCAAGTGGACGATGATTTCATGAATTAAAATATTAGCTTAGTCTCGATCCCGTTTCAATTCATTATTTAATTTATTTTACTGACGCAATCCGTCGTAGACTCACGCACGTAAACCGTTGTGTATTTTTATTTGTTTTTTTTTGTTATTAAATTATTTTTTAATAAATTTTGTGAGGTGTAGTTCTTGTTTTGTATGCCTGTTTTTTGTTGTTTTTATTGTTTTTAATAACTAACTATGGTAGAATTCCAAGGACTGTTGATATGTGTGCCTCTTTATACTGCTGGGTAAGTAAAATGTAACGTTTTAAATTTATTTTTTAATATACCGTATACTGATCAAGATCGTAAATTATTCAGCAAGACCTATAATCCTTTTTTTTATTTTTTCATAGTGTTGCATGCATTTTTCTAAATGTAAAGAGAAAGTATGTCTGACCTAAATTAAAGTTAATTATTAGATTAATACTTTCACTTCCTTAGCCTTTTGCAGTGTGTACTGGTTTTGCATGCATTGCATATTTTGTACATTTTTTATTTACACAATAGCACTTGAATTCATGCCTAAATATACTATGTCTTTAAATACTTTAAATATAATATATTTTTGAAACAACTAAGAATATATTTTTGTGTGCTAATATTATGACAAAAGTATCTTAACTTGTTGAAATCTTCAAGTCAAAATAAATTTTAAGAAATATGTGACAACAGGTAAACTTTGATCAAGGTTGAAAAAAAATAACAAACTCATAATACAATATCTTTCAAGTGATATTATTGTGTTTTAAGTGAACAATAGACAATACATATTTATGAACATAAACAAAAGATTTATAGAAAAATAATACAAGTAGAGTATTTAATCTGTACTGTGTCTGTCACCTGCTTATTTTTATCTTGATTCTAGATAAGTGTTCTTGTTACGGACTTTAGTACGGACATTTTTAATCCCATATTATTATTATCTTTTATCAGAGGTGTAATTAATCTGATACCTATGTTAATTATCTCTGTATAAGGAGAAAAACAGCTACCAAGGGAATTGAACTACTTAATTTTATTATTATTATTATTTTTAGAACATAGAACAAAAAACATAAAATAGCTTGTTTATGATTTAGTTTGAGTCATTTTTATAAAAACACTGCTAGGATAAAACATTGTTTTGTTTTCATTTTAAGAACAACTTTTGTAGTCTCTCTACTGCAATGGCTTTGGTGTAAGTTTTTGTTATTAAATAGAAAAAAAAAACATTAAAAAGATATTTAAATGAAATATTGTTTTTGGTTCAACATAAATTACATTTTCCTGACATAAAATAATAAACTTGATACTTTGTGATTGCAAATATTCAAAACATTATAAATAGCTTCACTAAAAGGAATAACCAACAGACTGACACTTTTTATCTTTAAACTTTGTTTGGCATTCAAAACTGTCTGTACTGCAGGCCTTCAGGTCTAATTAAAATCAACGACTTTTGATTTTCAATTTGATAAGTTATTGATTGCCTATTTGTGTTCAGACTTTATGTAGATTTGCCGAATGAGTCCCCATTCCATTTAAGAGAGGGTTAGCCATATACTCTTCACTAGGTCACTAAAAGATAAAAGATAAAAAAAGATACAGGATATTTTGTGCCTGTGTTGCCATAGCTTGGTTTAGTAATATAATGTTTATATTATTTCCAGGGTGCTAATACTAGGTGCCTCGCTGTCTGCAAGTCTATTTGTGTTCCATGTAGCTGTGGTACCTCTTATCTTCAAATATTCAAAGGGCTTTAGAAGAAATCTAGTATTTGCTAATTTTGGTAAGTATAAATTTGTTTCTTCCAAACTTAATATTATAAATACGAAAGTAACTCTGTCTGTGTGTCTTTTCTTCACGCCTAAACTACTGAACTTATTTTTCTGAAATTTGATACACACGTAGTTTGGAACTCGAGAGAGGACATAGGATAGTATTTATACCAAGAATCTACAGGAAGTCGCTATTCCACGCGAACGGAGTCGCGGGCAAAAGCTAGTTAATAATAACGCTTAGCTTTGTTTGCCTAAAAAATAGTAATGTGTGCAAGCAATCCATTAAAACACTAGGTACTATAATTTTTTCTTTAGTTTGAAATCTTAAATTAAAATATGTCCAGTATATGAAGTATTATTTCTTTGTTTTTTTACGTAATACTTTTGGGGAATATTAAAAAATGATTACGATTTAACTTAATATAGTGAAGTCTCCAAAATCCAGCCATTTAAAAAAGTTGAATCATTATTATCATTTAATAATTTATTTTAAAATTTGCAAACACAAAGTACATAGATAGAATAAAATTAGAATTACTATGTAATTTGAATTTTAAATTTAGAATCGTAAAATAAGAAGGTCTTATTTAAACACACAATATTTATTCTACTAAGTTCAATGTTTTGTATTGTAATTCTTCAATGATAAAATGTCATTAACATTGATTGTCTTTATATACAAATTGTAATCTTATTAGTATAATGATAAGTTTCACTTTACACCTGCTAATCATTGAATGGGTAGGCTGAGATTAGAAAATTTTATTACCTACAATATTTATGTATGATGCTGGATAGTTTTTTTTTTTATAAATATTGTGCTGACGTTTAACTAAGAGGACCTTTTCAGCCGGTTAGTTTTAGTCAGTAAGAATCTGACACCGAATCTTCTTTCGCCCCGCCTCTAGGGCGGGCGAACTCATTTACACCCTGTTTCTGAAAGGCTTGTCAACGCTAAAATTATGTAATCTCCTGTTAAATCTCTTGGCAAGTCATCTGATTGGTTGTTGATAATTCAGTCAACCAATCAGATGACTTGACAAGAGATTAAATTGATTTTAACATTGATCGGCCTTTCGGAAACCGGGTTCGGTTCGGGTGTTACTCTCCTCAAAAATAGGATTCAAATTTAGAATCCCATAAGACTGGCGTTAACGTACGGGCTGTTGCAAATACACAACGAATCGAACATACCTAACGTCTTTTTTTTCGTTCGAAAATAATAACTATTTTGTGCGTTTTGCAGTTTTGTATGTACCTTAATTGCATTATGTAGAATTAAGATTTCCGTAAGTATCTGAATTTTGAATTCGGAAACCTTACGATTGTGGCCGGCCAATAAGCAACATTTTTTTTTCAAAGTGAGGGTAGACACTTTATCTTTATTTTTAATTAATGCGATGTCCATATCGAAGTGACGGTGTTCTAATATTCCATAGTTGTATAGTATCATTTGTTGTGAACAAATTGTGTTTTAAGTTAACTAAAGAGTTTAGATAAACCGTTTTCTAAAAGCCAATTTTAGAAAACGGTTTATCTTTGATATTTTATCAAAACTAGGATATTAGGTACGGTACGACTAAATCTGTTTGCCAGAATTCAGTGCTTTTAGTTTTCAAGAATGAGTGGAAAAGTGTGGAACCATTTGTAGTACATTGTATTACTGTATGTACTTATAAGGTAATAGTTTTAATGATAATCAAATAGAAACATTGGTCAGTAGGTCATCTTAGGGGCGGGTCCAAAAACATATAGGTACCTATGTACATACCTATGATTAATTGATATCTTAATGCAAGTTGTGGTCGAGCGGACGGCGCGTAGCGTTCCGCGCGCGCCTCAAAGAGTTGGCTCTTTGGACCACGACAGACGGGGCCCTATAGGGCTGATGTTCAGCCGGAGTTGCGGGTTAAGCGCAATGAGTCACCGCGGCCTACGCCCAGGGCGGGAGAAGTCATTTGATGATTTTCCCTTGACAAAAAAAGATGCACAAGGATTTGTATCTGTTTATGTTTTATTTTTAGCTTGTAATTTGAAATTCTTGTTGGAGATCGAAATAAATACAAATATACCCACATACATAGGTATCTACCTACTGTGGACGAGATATATAATAATATAACCTATGGTCTATCAGTTTAGGTACCTAAATGTAAACCAGCTTGGCATGTCATTTTATCTAAAACTTGTATGTAAAATTATTTACAATCAGGTAGATATTTACCTAAATCGATATAACCTAATCAACTAAATACTTGAATTAGAATGTTCAGTGTAAGTTTATGTTTGTCAATGTGTATAATTAGAAATATTTTTTCGTTTCCTCAGTACAATGGCCTCCGAACACGGATTTCGAGGAGCCGACGTCAGCTGGTATCGAGGGGGCGCGAAACCTTAGCATAGAGTACCAGTCCAAAGTAGACAAATGCAATGTCAAAATTGGTAAGTTTAAAATCCATACTAATATTATAAAACTGTAGAGTCTGCTTGTTTGTTTGCACGCGCAAATCTCCAAAACTGCTGGTTCGAAATTGAACAATACTTTTTTGTCTGTTAGTTCATTTATCGATGAAGGCTGTTAAATATCAGGCTATATGATCTGTAGGAGCCGGGTAGCGGGTGAAACCGTGCGAGAATAGCTAGTCAAATCAAATCAAATAGCTTTATTTGCCGAAACCTACATAATTAGTGACTATGGTGTTATATATTTAAGTTACATATCTCTTTGTTCTACCCATTGGGCATGCAGATACTGGGTATGTCTCAGCCATAATGTTCAAATTAATTAAATTCAAAATCAGTCATCAGTCATCTACTGATTTATATTTGACCAGTTCAAGTACCTACATATTGTAGAATAAAATTCTAACTTTACCCTTAAACTTATCTCTTGAAGGTATCTGGCACATCCTCCCGAAGACGGCGTACGAGAGGCTGAAAGGTAACTTTGAGAGTACCACGGACCGGGAGGAGCTGAACAAAATACTTGATGACGAGCTCACTAAGTCCAAGAATCCTGTCGTACTCTACTGTCATGGTAAGCAAGGAAAATCTCATTAATGTCCTGCTTTTTTTTTATTTATTTATTTAATAGGTCGGCAAACGAGCAGACGGATTACCTGATGGTAAGCAATCAGCGCCGCCCATGGACACTCGCAACGGAGGAGTTGCGAGTGCGTTGCCGACCTTTTAGGTATAAGGGTTTCAGATATTTAAGTATTGACAAGGCATGGGAGAGGGGTAGGGATTGGGCCTCCGGTAACCTCACTCATACGGCGAAACACAACGCTGTGGTTATTTCACGCCGGTTTTCTGTGAGGCCGTGGTATCACTCCGGTCGAGCCGACCCATTCGTGCCGAAGCTTGGCTCTCCCACACTTAAACTTCTACTAATTTCTTAAATGTTGCTTCTACTCATATTATACCTAAATGTGAAAGTTTGTGATGTAGGTAAGTATTTGTTATTCTCTCACGACTAAACAGCTGGACTGACTTGGTTGAAATTTGTTATGTAGATAGCTGATACACTGCATTGACACATAGGCGAAGTTCCATCATCTTCATCAGCTCATAAGTGCTCACTGTAGAGCAAAGAACTCTTCTTCAACAGATAATGTTTTACCATTTCTCAAAAACCTAGCTTAGGGCGGATTGGTGATTTTAAACTTGTCCAAGTTTTCTCGCGATGATTTTCTTCACCATTGTGTAATGTCTAAATACATTTGAAAAGTATATAAGTTGTAGCGACATCTAGCGCACTACATTAACAACAGCACCAATCACGTGCAAGAGCCTACATCGCGCTATAAGAGTTTTCCACACAATTAGCACCCATACAGATATCCCGACAACAACCGTCGGGCAGTAGCCCACCAGGCACGAACACCTCGCCTGGTCGGAGGATCCTTCCTTTCCAATGGAGGATGAGGAACTTTCCACCCTGTTCCTCATGCCTCTAAAAAGTACTTACATAAATCATAATGTAGAACTTAAAGGAAGTCACATTCTTACTTGCTAGATCTTTTCTTTTGGAAATCTGTCTGGTCGTAACACATAATTAAAAAAAAAATGGAAATCGATTCATAAATTGCGGAGTAATCGGTGAACATACAAAAAAAAAATAATCAGCCTAACATAGTACGTCCTCCTTTTTTTGAAGTCGGTAAATAGTCAGCTTTTATGTCTGTCTGTAGCTGTATGAACGTCATGTACTCGAAAACTGCTGGATTTGTTTTTGTATGATTTTTACTAATATGTATTGAGATTCCTGATAAATATTTATTGATGATGAAAATAAAAAAAAATCTGCTGAAAATAACTGCTTTTTTATGTAATAAGTCGGCAAACGAGCAGACGGATTATCTGATGGTAAGCAATCAGCGCCGCCCATGGACGGGTGTCCATGCCAACGCCTCCGTGCAACGGAGGAGTTACGAGTGCGTTGCCGACCTTTTAGGGATTTGGAGATTTAGGGATTGGGGAAGGGTCCGGGAAGGGGAAGGATTGGGCCTCCAGTAACCTCACTCACACGGCGAAACACAACACTGTGGTTGTTTCACGCCGGTTTTCTGTGAGGCCGTGGTATCACTCCGGTCGAGCCGACCCATTCGTGCCGAAGCATGGCTCTCCCACACTTTTTGCTTGTCAACCATATGCCAACAACGAATTCTATTCCATTACGGCTACACAGTGCACAAAGGCGATGAAAGTCTGGAAAACCGGATTGTCGTTGGGAATACCGAAGGCAAACGATCGCGTGGTCGTTCACCAACCAGATGGACCGATTAATTGAAAGATTCATCGTCCTCCTAATTCTTCGCGGTAGTGGAAGATGCGCTGGATCGAAACCGGTGGAGGCGGATCATCCGCTCCAGATGTTACCCCGATGCTGACCACGATCCTCAGATGTGAGGGACTGATAGAAGAATTTGTTGTTATTTTTCGCAGGCAACTCGAACTCCCGAGCAGCCACGCACAGGATACAGCTGTACAAGTTCTTCCAGAAAATGGAATTCCACACAATCGCCTTTGATTATAGAGGTCAGTTCCTAATTATTCAGTTTTATAAAATAAAGTAGATATATCTTCAAATGAATAAATCACTACATACTATAAAACAAAGTCGCTTTCTTTGTCCCTATATCCCTATGTATGCTTTAATCTTTAAAACTGCTAAACGAATTTTGATGCGTTTTTTTAATATAGAGTGATTGGAGAGGAAGGTTTATATGTCATCAACATCTATTCAGATTCAAAAGAAAAATTCTATATTGTAGATATTTAGTATCAGCGTATAGATATTTAGTAACAGCGGGTATAACGTATAACGTATCGTGGGTTCGATTCCCGTACGGAACAACACTTTGTGGGATCCACAAATTGCTATGTATATGTATGTGTATGACCACTCACGTCACGACACAGGAGAAAATCCAAGTGTAGGGCATTTAAATAAAAATATTTTTACTGAGGGAAAAACCCTGTTCCAGGTTACGGTGACTCCACAAACCTTCGTCCGACGGAGGCGGGCGTGGTGGAAGATTCCCTCGTGGTATACGAGTGGTTGCTCAGTACACTTGGTGGCAACGGCAAGCTCTTTGTCTGGGGACATTCGCTAGGTAAGTGTTTTTTAGGGAATAAGTCGGCAAACGTGCCAACGGATTACCTGATGGTAAGCAGTCGGAGTTACGAGTGCATTGCCGGCATTTTGGAGATAAGGGTTTCCGGTTATCGGATATTCAAGGATTGGGAAGGGATGGGGAAAGAGGAGGGGGATCACTGATAACCTCACTCAAACGGTGAAACAACGCTGTGGTTGTTTCACGCTGGTTTTCTGTAGGGCCGTGGTATCAGCCGACTCCTACGTGGCTCTCCCATACTGCAACTGCAACTTCTTTTAGTCAGGATCTACAGTATATACAACAATGAAAACACCAAAATACTGAAGTCCGGCGCGTCCCGAGGACATGAATGACTGTCTTGGATCCCGCTTCGAGATCGAGACGATCCCCTAGAGGGCTCCATCTTTAGCTACAAGCCTGACAACCCAATATATTTATTTACAATACATTTCATTTTTTATTTAATACATAATACCCGTCTTCAATGCATCTCTCTTTTATAATCTTATTTCATTCAATAATATTTTTATAATTAATGTATTTCGTATTATGTTCGATTCATTTTGACCCGTACCGGGTCCCTTACCACGAAATAAGTCGAGAATACATCTAATAATAGCAACTATAGCAATAATAAATTTAACAAGTTTTTTCTTTTATCCACAGGTACAGCAATATCATCCCATCTACTGGGCAATTTAAGAGAACTATCAGTTACCTTACTAGACAGATCTACCCCCCTACCGTTGCCCCGAGGCCTTATATTGGAAGCTCCATTCAATAACCTGGCTGATGAAGTCGCCAAGCATCCATTGTCGAAGGTAAGATGAATTTTTGTATTTTTTTTTTATGGAATAGGAGGAAAACGAGCAGACTGATCAACTGATGGTGAGCGATCAGCGTCGCCCATGGACACCCGCAACATCAAAGGAGTCTCAGGTGCGTTGCCGGCCTTTTAAGAAGGAGTACGCTGGTTTCTTGAAGGTTTGAAGGTCCTATCGGTTCGGGAATACCGCCGCCGGAAGATCATTCCAAAGTTTTGCTGTGCGAGGCAGAAAGTTACGGGTGAATCGCACAGTTGTTGACTGCCAACCATCTATGTGATGGGGATGAAAAAGTTTTCGCGTGAAACGATGGCGAAAAGATGCGGCGGGGATGCGATAGAGAATACATAGCGAGGCAACATCTCTACGCAGTAATGCTAAAATCAATAGATCATTTTTTTCTAAATCTCCAACTAATCCTTTATCACTTCTGGAGTGATACCAAGGCCTCACACGATATTTTCGTAAAAAACGCTTAAGTTATCGGAGGCCCATTCTTCTCTCTTCCCATCTCCAATTCCCCAATTTTTTTATGTTACTATTTGACAAGCAATCTTACGAATTACCTGATGGTAAGCAATCTTCGTCGCCCGCCGTCAAGTCCGTTGCCGACCTCTTGTGGGTTATTAGGGATTTAAGTATAGGGTATTTGACGTTTGAGGATTAGGGGAAAGGGGAGAATTGGGCCTCCAGTAACCTCACTCACACGGCGAAATACGGGATTTTTTCACTCCGGTTTTCTGTGCGCCGTGGTATTTCTTTTAAACCGACCCATTCGTGCCGAAGCTTGGCTCTCCCACACTTAACCTAACCCGATAGATCATAGTCCTTATATAAGGATTTGATTGATATTATGTTTGTATGTAGGCACTGAATAAAAACTAAGTACGTTTATGTATGAACGTTTAGTAGTGAAGTACATAGCGTGGTATCATTGAATACAAAGAAAAAATAAGTGACTATCAGAACAATTGACTAATGGCGTTTCCTGTTCCTCCAACTGCTGCGAGAGGAATCATACAATATTTAACAATGGAGGTCGCATAAAGCCACAATAATACTTTCTTTTCCACAGCTGGTGACTTGGCTCCCATACTACGAGTGGACCTTCGTAGACCCGTTCCGGAGTAATGACGAACAAACATTCAAGTCTGATGAATATTTAGTCAAAGTGAGGTCTTTACCCATCCTCATACTGCATGCTAAGGATGATGTTATCGTGCCCTTCGTGGTTGGATTGAGAGTGAGTATCATCACTACTATATAGTAATAAAAAAGTCGTTTTCTCTATCCTTATGTACGCTTAAATCTTTAAAACTACGCGACGGATTTTGACGTTTATAAACTTCCAAGAAAATCCAAAAGTATGCAAAAAAATGTATGTATGTATACATAGTGATAAAAACAGAGGATTATTAATTTTTTGGCTTATACAGTTGTCAATTACAGGTTGCCCAACATTAAAAAAAAAGTTACTAAAACTCTAGGTAGGTTTTTTGAATGAGGGAATCATCAAATGGCTTCACCTGTCGACTCTTACTTAATAAAAACCCATATGTTTCTTCTCCTGCACCAAACTCGGGTTCCGGGGCAAACGCAATGAGGCACCGCAGTCTCGGCTCAGAGCAGGAGAAGGAACACACTCTCTCTCTCTCTCTCCTTACCCTGGGCGGGAGAGGTGATTAGAAGATTTTTCTCCTGACAAAAAAGAGGTCTGGTTCTGGTCGGGCGATTTCCATTTCTCACTTCAACGAATGTTTTCGAAAAATAGTTTAGAGAAACTGAGTTTATTTTTTTTAAACCAACAACAAGCATGTCAATTAATACTTACAACGAGGCTCAATATTTTAATTGCCAATCTTTAGGTCTATAGGGGGCGCCGTGTGCTTCCAACAAGACATCCGATAGCTCATTTGCTGCACAATCCTACAAAAAGAGGACTCTCACAGGCTAATAATTTTCTGTCATTTATATTGTATTTTTTTCCTTTCAGTTATACAGATCGGTATTACAATCCCGAGGTAAAGACGACGCAATGATAAAGTTACATGCGTATGAAAAGAAGGAGGATCTAGGCCACAAGTGGATCTGCCACGCTGCTGACCTACCTGATGTTGTGGGGTGAGCATATACTTCTAATTTTTCTTTAATTACTTTAAGCAATTTACGGGAACCTCTCCCCGAAAATGATGGTCCAACTAAATATACAATGTCATTTTATTAAAAATAACGACTTACGTAAATTAAATGTGAATACATTAATTAATTTTGTCATCATTTTCGGGAACGACCGCTCCCCGAAAATGATGGTCCAAGTAAATGTAATATTTTTCTTATTAAAAATAATCAGTTATTCACGCCTATGATGAAGAATAAGTTATTGAAAAAAAACTAGGCCTTTATTAAGGCCTAGTTTTTTTTCAAAAAATTTCAATTTATTTCTAAAAATAACATTTTCGGGAACGACCGCTCTCCGAAAATGATGGTCCAAGTAAATGTAATATTTTTCTTATTAAAAATAATCAGTTATTCACGCCTATGATGAAGAATAAGTTATTGAAAAAAAACTAGGCCTTAATAAAAAAAATAACATTTTCGGGAACGATCGCTCCCCGAAAATGTTAGTCCAAGTAAATGTACTATTTTTTTATTGAAACTTACGTCTATAATGTAGAATAAGTAATTGAAAAAATCTACTAATTTCAAGTCACAATGGCACTCTTATTCGTAAGCGGCGGGTGCTCGTTGTGGTGACGTTGCGCAGCCGATTGCAGAGTATATTTAGCATGTAACACGACAGCTACTGTCTTACAAATTAACCATCTTTTTTGGAGAGGTGTCGTTTCCATCATTTTCGGGGAGCCACCGTTCCCGAAAATGTTATTTTTTTTATTAAGGCGTAGTTTTTTTTTCGGGGAGCCACCGTTCCCGAAAACGATAACAATTCAAACTAATTCGTGTACGACTCCCAACGAACTTGTGTCCCGAGATTAAGTTGAACACTCACATTAGGCCTGACACTCGCTTTCGCCTCACCCAGAGTGCGAAGAGTAAAAAAAGATAATACCAATTATAAAAAAACAACTAAAAATTATATTATTTGTTTCAGGGAATTCGTGACTCAACACATACAATGATTTGAAACAACATCAAGTGATGGTGTATTTCTTCAATTCTAAAAATCATGATATACGTTAATGATATAAATAGCATCGCGCTCGTTTCTCTGAAAGAATAGATAGCAGTGAAAAATATACTCAATTCTCTTGAAAAATACTCTCTAGTCTGCTTTTTACTTCAGGGTAAAGTGGCGTGATGGTATGGATGTACTTAGACCCTATAATCATGTTCCTAATATAATATTCAAAGTATGTAAGTTTTTCCGTATATGTACCAATTGAAATTGAATTTTAAAAGTATGTAAATAAGAAATAAAGTCTAAAGAATTGTCAACGAAAGTCTAAAGTCTGGATTTGTGCCTAAGTAAGCTTAGCAGTAATAAAATTGATAATAGCTAACCCACTAGACGCCTAGAACTAGATCAGGGTGCTATTTTCTTGACAGTTATTTATTTAAGCTTTTAAGACATTTCAATCAATTTGTTCTTTATCTTTCAGAATTCATTTTTTTTATTAGAAACTGTACTGTATACAACTCAAATCGTCTTTTTAAATAATGCCCTGATATTTGGAATATTTTATATAAAATTACGGAAGGCCGAGTCTGGAGTCCCCAAAAATGATTTCGTAATAAAACCGTATCCTAAACGGTCGAAAACGCACTTTTGATGCCTCTAGTGGACTTGGACTACAGTACTCGCTCACATCTAGGCAGACCATAGGTTTTATAGCTACTGATTGTAGCATAGAAATACAATATATAAAACTATGAAATAAAATACAATATGGGATTTTGTCGTAGATCCTAAATAAATATTATACTCGTAAATGTTTCAAAACGTTGGTTTATCATCACGCTTTCACGCTCATACTGTTTTTCTTTCTTCATATTCTTTATTTCTGTTTTCACTTGTTGAATCAAATGTTATGTCTATTATGTTGGATACATACAATTTAAAGGAGGTTATGGACTACTTCTTTACACAAATCAAAACCACTTACTCTAAAAGGTTAATAAATAGGTGAATAGAATTATTTTGATAATTATGAACCATAGCTATGAAGGTTGTAATTTTTTACACCTAATATTTATTGATAAACAATTTCTGTTATCGCAGTAGTTGCAAATATAACTCGTAAGATTCTTATATGTTTATACTTTATATCACTCCACTTTTATGTAAAGAAATTGATGCCTATTTTCACATGACTAGCGAAGAAAAGTGATTGAAATTTTGTCTGATTTTTTTGAAAGCAATCATAATAAATGTTGTTTTTTTTTTAGAATTTTAATACAATAAAATACTCATTTAAAATAAATTACATTATTTAATACTTCTTTCGAAAATAATTACTTCGTAAATTACTTCTTTGATGATAGTCTGAAAGTTATAAGGAGTACATTATTAGTTTTAGTTTTGTTTTGTATCATCAATACATAGGAGGCTTTGCGATAATCTCTCCACACTTGAAAGTTTTTGTGGTTGGGTTGGAAATAGCAATTGCAAACTACAGGTTTTTCAAGGCGACGCTCCTTGATCAACTACGTATGCAGTTCCTTTGATATTCGCGGGCAGATTAAGAGGGATGATAAAAACAGTATTCCCGGTCATCAATAAAAGAATATAAGCTAAAAACGGTACATTACTATCTTATTTCATGTGTGAGTTCTGCAAGAATTCAACGTATTATTATTGGGTACTTTTCCTAGTCAAAAATAAAGTTTCTTTAAATATTATTTGGTTATTATTGATGTATGATGTACGATGATATTTTATTTTTATTCTTATATATATAATAATCACTCTTTGATTCGTAAATTTGTTTGACAGCCATACTCATAAAACTTACCTACAAGGATTTGTACCAAACTTAACGCTGAGTCAGCCACCGCTCATATTTGTCTAATGTTAGTGGCCTATCTGTAGATTGGACATTAGGGATCTTTTAGCATTGAGGATTAAGGTATGAATTACATATTTTTATTAAATGAATATGGGACGCTATTTTTTTTAAAATCTATTGCACAATTATTATTGCAAAGTATCCAACAAGCACTTATTGCAACATATGTATTGGTGATATGGACAAAATCTTTTGGTACAATCAATATACATTAAGAGCAATTGACATCATTTTTGGGAACGCTCCTCCCTGTTAATGAAGTCAATAAACAACATTTTTCACACAAATTGTACCCTAAAACAAGCATTTGTTGGGACATATGTATTGGTGATATGGGCCATATAATTATAGCTTCTATAGAATGTTTTATCAAAGGGTAAGTGAGTTTGAATGCCTAAGTCACAGTTTTTACTGCGACTTCGTTTTCGGGAAGCCTGTCTCCCTGGTTCTAAACAGACTTTACTACAGTGAAGAAAGATAAATTACACCATCCGATACGCAAACCCTCCCTTAGAAAGGAGTTAAGACTTAGCTGATTTATTCGATAGCACCTATAATGAAGATGTAGATGATGAATTTCTGACGTAAGCATTGCACGGTAAAGTTCTAGCTAGTTTGCTGTGCTCATTTGTGCCACGTACTACCAATATATGTGACCGACAAATAATATTTCGAAAATTATAGTCGTCAATAAAAAACCTGAATGCCTGCCCGCCTTGTTTAAAGCACCGTCATTTTCGGGAACGCCTTCCTTCGTTCCCGGAAATGATGTCAACAATAATAAATTACTATTTGCTATTGTGAATCGAATTATGTAGGTACTGAACAAATACGTATTCTTTTTTATAATGCTATATTTTTATTTAAAAAAATTGTGCAATCATATTTCGAAATTACACCTCCCCGAAAATGATGTTAATTGTGTCACTATTTTTGACAGAAATATTGATTCAGGCGCCAAGTTTGACATCTTTAGGCACAAACAGCGCAGGTTATTCCGACTAACCATTAAAGGTTAGGTTTTTCTATTACAATATAACTTTTAACATCACTCGAGAAACTTATTTTTAATGGACTTCTGTGTTTATCTCCAAAGAAAACGGCCTGATTTTATGTGTTAAATAAGTACATAGAAATAATTAGTACAATTACAATGATTTATTAAACAAAGCTGTTTATAACAATACTTAATTTATTCGTCAAGTAGAATTGCAATAAAGTCTTTATTTAATACTTTTTGTGTTTCATTTTTAATCTCTTTTTTTAGGTGAGAAATCCAATGACTCTTCTCTTGCCTTCTGATATCCAAACTGAGAGACTTACTGACTAAAAACCACTCCGTTCCGTTCTCTTGCTCAGAGTCAGGCCACGGTCAGTCATGTGCTTTGTCATTTTAATATTTTTAGAGCAATTTCACCTCTTGTCTGCCGGTATATGACAAACAACAAACACATTGTGTCTAGCATGGATCTTTCTTCTCTTCATCTTCTTAACCCGGTCGCGGTTAAACTTTATTATTTTCATTTTATTTGAAACTAGCTTTTGCCCGCGACTCCGTTCGCGTGGAATAGTCCATACTATAATACCATATTAATTACTTTAGATACTCTTTGGAATAGTCTTAGGCACTTCCTGGAGATTTTTAGTACATAAAACTATCCTATGTCCTTTCTGGAGTTCCAAACTATATCTAAATTAATACGAAAGTAACTCTGTCTGTTTGTCTGTATTTTCTTCACGCCTAAACTATTGAATCGATTTCTGTGATATTTGGTACAGATAAATATCACAGAAATCGATTCAATAGTTTAGGCGTGAAGAAAATACAGACAAACAGACAGAGTTACGTTCGTATTAATTTATAATATTAGTTTGGATTGGACTAGTTTGGAAGGTGGCTAACCAGCAAACGGACTTCTTGGTGTTAAACAATCAACGCTGCTCTTGGACTCTTCAAACACCAGAGAAGTTGCAAGTGCAGTGCTGGCCTTTTGTAAGGGGGCTTAGAGATTAGGCAAGGGTAGGGTAAGGTTGTTTCACGCCGGTTTCTGTTAAGACTGGGTATCACTTCGGTTAATCGTGCCGGAGCATATGGTTCTACCATACCTAAATACATACTCGTTGCGTAAACCTGTTTTGAAAACTTTTTGGAAGGATTGTACCTACCTATAATGTCAAAATGATGTGAATAACAAACAAAATGTCAGAAAAAATGAATACTTAAATAAAATTAATATAAATATATATAAATACAAAAAAAGTTTAAAATGATCGAAAAAAATAGCGTAGAAAAAAAAGAGGAAAAAATTATTTTAATAAAATAAAAAATATATGAAATTGCACCTTGCCAATATGGTTATCGGGTGAGTGTTGGTGCCATTCAAATCTTTTTCATCTACACATAATTATATTTGGTAAGTGTGTACCTCAGGTGTGTACGAATATAAATATTATTGATTGTCCAAAGTCATTAATAATGTTAGGGTAGGTACTAAGTCGATCAAAGGTTTCATTAAACATAAATTTGTATGTAGGTACTGCCTCCGTTCTGACTGAATATTTTTGTTGCCTGCATACCAAATAACTGTACTGAAATAGTAATGAATATTCCCTTGATACGCACTTTCATAATCTTACATCAATAAAACAGGTAACACTAACAAGCAGCTATTTGCTATAACAAAAATGTCAGGCGTTTACCAACCCTAAGTTTTAGAGTAAATTAAAATCGTGTGACGCTTGTTTTGAACCTTTTATAACACTTTTGTGTAACACCCCTACGGTTGACTGCATTACATATTATATATATATAATGTGTTAAATAAATAAATACTTAAATTAAAGCTGTCGAGTCAACAAAACCACCCAAAAAGATAAGGATCTTTGGAATCCTTTACCGAATTAGCTTTTGATTGATATGATGATGATAAAGTACCTAATATGTAAAGGGACACATGTATGTACGTCAGAGTGCAAGGTAAGCAAAAATGTATGAGAGTGTAAGGCATGCAAGGAACACAGTTACTGCGCAATGGTCTGATCGAACGGTTCTCTTTGGTTTATTTATAGAATCAGGCGTTACTTTGCGGAAATCCATGACATTAAATGTTAGGGAAAATATTTAGTTTTAATTCCGCGACAAAAATCCAGGCTTGTTGCAGGATGCAATCCCACTCCTATGCAATCATGCATATGCACATGCAGCAAGGGTAACATGCATATGCACACATACACAAAACGGAAAAACATGCCACGCAAGGTCTCTTTGGGTCAACCACAAAGAGGACGCGAAAAATATCCAGTATAAGAAACCCGTGCTACACTCAACCCCTGACACACCATCAACCAGAAGAGGCAGAACTCCACGTAGGATTTAAACACCAATCCGCAAATAAACAGACTGTTCAGAAACTCAATTCATTGTACAACTTTTTTTTCTAGGGGCTTATTAGTGGCAGGTGCATCAGTGACAGCCAGCATTTTTGTAGTCCAAGTT